TAAGTATTAATTAACAGCTTAGAGTGTCTGTTGAGTTTCCTCCTGCCTAATTTGACTGTTCTTACAGTGGATTGTACATACAGAGTTTTTGGCTTTTTTTAGGATGAGGGAAAAAATGGGATGTGAAAGGAGCATAGTCTTGAGTTACTTCCTTTTTTGAAAGGTTATATTTGAAATATTGGTTTTAAGAATATTTCTAAACAGTGATGGAAAAGGTTATTCCTTGATCAACTACCTGTATGTACTCAGACAGTGTCCCTTTTGTGTTTAGTGGCTGCAGATATTTGATGCAGGCACTCATTTCCTTAAGAAATTCAAGGAAGCAAATGAAAGACTGGAAGATGTTCCTTTGGTAAGGAAGTGAGTGTGATAATGAAACTGAACACAGTAATATGTGGTTTTTTTCTCATGTCGGCATGAGTTGAGCAAAATCACATTTCTTCCATTTTACAAAAGTTGACATGAAATAGCATCCTTTACATTTTAGGTCTCTAAATGTCTTGTGTTTTCCAGATATTTTTTCAGAACACCTCTATGGAACTTGGAGGCAACTGTTGATAGTATTACTGATGCTAGTGCTGATAAGATTTTGGAAACATTTTTCTGTGTTTATTTTTCAAGTGTTTATTTAGAAAAAGCCCAAGAGAAGACAGCTCTTGTAGTCTGGGACAAAGCATAACCTTTTTTTCCACCATTCATTTGCAGTAACATCTGAATTTTTAATTCAGTGCTTTTCAAGAGATACAGAAGAGTACATCATACATCTGTTTAAGAACAGAAGAATGCTCTAAGTACTTAATGATAAGGAGTAAAAACCATATATTTAAGTGAAAAAAGTGTCAAAAGTAAAATCAGGTGTTTGAGACCTCACCAGAGCTGCTTTAATGTGAGGAGTAGGATTGTAAGAGCTGTTTTTTTGTCTTTTATGAGCAAGGAGCCTAAGGGAGACCTATCACTGTTTAATTATAGGAGCTCTGTTTCACAAAGACATACTAACTCTGTCTTTGGAAGTCTTTGTCAGAGATTGAAAATCTAATTCTGCATTTTAAGTCTTGATTGAAGATCTCTTCATAGCTGGACTTTGCCTAAAATGTGGGAGATAAAAAGCTGTACTACCTTTAAAATTGTTAGGAGGTGCTTGCTCAGGGACAGTAATGCTGTTTTTTATATGCCGAGTTTCGATCTTTACGGTTTAGTTATGGAGACACTGGGAAATAAAAAACTGAGGCAAAAGAACCTATATCTAAACAGTACAGTAATATGAGTTTGTAATTCCATTTCTCCCCTTGCAAATAGGAAGAACTTCTAGGTTTGTAACAAAATGGTGGGTGAGCTACAGATAATTTTAAAATCACTGCTGTGGCTAATTATCTTAAGTGCAGTCACTTAAGTATGCATCATTGCACTCTTCTCTACCTTCCCACTTTCCTCTGAAAGTGGACACAGCCTTTGCTCTGCAAGTAATAATAATAATTGGTACTAAGACAGACCTGTTACTCATCCTTTTTTGAGCACATTTCTTATGGCAGATGTCTAGTTTTTAATTAACTGCTAATGAACATGCCTAGTAGACCATGATACTGCTGCCAGCCTACTCCGTTTTATATCTCACTGCTGCTAAGCTCTTAAAAGGTTACAGAGCAGGCATTAGTGTCTTTGAAGTGATGGGAAAGTGATTATATGCATAACATAATTATTTGTAGGATCTACTATGGCAAATGTTTAGTTACTAAATGCATCTGGTGAACATTGCTGTTATCCCTCTCCCTATTCTTTATTTTTTTCCTTTGTGTGCAGCACATATTCCTTTTATCCCTTCTACAAAGATAATACAATGTGCTTTTAAAAATTAAGGTTTTTTAAATAAAAATAATATGAATTTCTGGAAAGGATCATCTTTATGAATGATCCTTCATCTCTTAGGGAGAACTTCAAACCTGTTATGAATAAATAACACATAAGCAATAAATCAGTGTAATGAAGCCCTGAACAGCGATGAACATCAGATAATAAACATGAAATCATGATATAACACTGGTGGCTTAAAAGACCATAATCAGGATTTCAGTTATAAGTCAGTTTCATGTAGTGCCATATTTACAGATCTTTGTGTACCATGCCTGTAACTAAACATTTGCAAAGCTGCAAAAATGTGCAGGGCAGCTTTGCAATGCACTTGCAACTCTCACACCACACCTTGCCCATTGCTCCCCACTATCTGTGTGCAGCACCACCAGAGAGCACAGGACCCAGCCCTTCCACTCTCACCTTCAGAACCTCTTATCTGTTCAGAACCATTTATCTGTTCCTCATTTCTCAGACTATTTTCATAATGTGTGGTATGTAGGCTACAAACCAGAGCCAGAGATATGGTAGGTAAGGTGCCCCTGACATTTCTTAAAATGTTAACTTGTGCTTCTTGAAATCAAGTGTCTTAACTTGTTTGCTAATTAAACCAAGCAGGATAGAGATGAATAAGGGTTATCCTCCTACACTTCCCAAATAGTAGGGGCAAAAATGGAAACAATTTAACTCCTGTTCCAGGTTTCAACCTTCCTATGGTCACTCTGCAAAAGAAGCTAGTTTGGGCTTATTGGCGGAGAAGGGAGGAGCCTTTTTGCCATGAAACAAGTTTGGAAGGAATAAATCAATTTTTATTTTTAGGAAGTTGCACATAAAATTAGGTAATGTGGGGTGATAGTGCAGCTGGGGACAAGTAAGAGTGATGCCAACAATGCTGCACAGTACTGCTCATTGAAGTTGCCTCAGAGCTAGAGTGCAGATGACTGACCTGGCTGAAGTGAGGAAGGAGGTGACTAAGTTACCATCTCTGAGAGAGACACCCAAAATATCAGGTTATCACCCGTTTTGAGGAAATGTGCTGGAAACTACTGAAGTCTTATTAAAGTCAGTGTGGAGAGGGATGTCATATTGCTCTTTAGAGGCTGGATTCAAAAAACAGGCAAAACCCCCAAACCAAACCTCTGCAGACCTGTCAGACCTTATAGTGCTCCTTACTGATAGTTCTTCACTTAAGTGAAGCTTTACTAGCAAAAACTGGTTGATATTGTAGAAAGTGGTCTACTGTGTTAACTACTTTAAAATCAAAATGGTTCCTAATGCTTCCTTCAAAATGTTGCCTTTTGAAAACTCATTAAATTAGAAGAATAATAATAAGTTCTCTTTTACCTAGTTTTCCAAACTGAAAAGGGTGATGATCAGATGTATGTTTTGAAGTGTATACTAGCATGGCTTTTTATGCAGCATTCAAAAATAAATTCCTGATATGTGTGTGAGAAAGATTTGATAAATATGTGGCTTTACAGAATTGACTAAATGCATTGTGGTAAATTTAAAGATTGAAATTTAGAGATTACAATCTTTATTGTAATTTAGAGATTACAAGACAATTAAAGATTGTCTTGTAATTTAAAATAAGTAAATGCACGACAGTTAGGACAGCAGAAAAGTGAAAAATTAGCAAGTGCAGTGTAGAGTTCTTGAATGTGAGCCCCTGTGTCTGCATAATTTTATAAACAGCTCAAGGCATGTCTTGAGATGGGGTTATGAGAAGTAAAAGTGTAGGAGTTCAGTAGTAATATATATAAATAGTGATAAATAAATTAATTCATATGCCGGTAGATGTTATACAGGTATTGTTGACTGGTTGTCTTGAAAAGATTTCATACGTAAATAAACAGATTAAATATTGCTGCATTATTTTGAGTAGAGGTTTTTTTGGTGTGATGCATGAGATATTGTAAACTGCAGTCCAGGAATGATTTCAGTAGCTACCAGCTGTAAATGTAAAAATTTTACATGCTGCTGCAGGACCACTAGCATTCACCTGGTCAGAGTTGAGTTCATCCTGTTCAGACATACGTTTTTTTGTCTCCTTTTCGATCCTGTGAATTGGGGGGCACTTTAGCTTTTGCCTGGTGTCTGCCTTGAGGAGAGGGAGAGTGACCAAGGTGGAGAGGATTGTTCTGTCTTCTATTCACATGTCCAGACACAAGGAAGCAGGAGAGAGGGGCAGAATACTTGTTAACCTGGAGCAGATTATGGGAGCTATGACTAAGCTAAAGGTGTTTTTGAAGCTTCATTTTCTAAAAAAAAAACTGTGCTAAGCATTTTAGGCAAATTAAATGGATAGCTGAACTTGGTAAACATTAATAAAGCCATGGAAGCTTTAACTAGAAAATATCTTAATATTTAAACTATGGGGAAGACATTCTAACGTAAAAACTCTGTTTCTAAAATTACTTACGGATTATTTTAGCAGATTGGTTACAGGGTTGTGTGTCCATTCATTATGATTTTGATCTTGCAAACTCCTTTTAAAAGTGGATGTACATCATTAATACCATGTTTCTTGTTGAGAACTCCATGCTATCTAAAATACCTGGATTTTCAGCTCAAATCTGGCTCCTAAACAGAGCATTAAGTCATGAATAATTTCCCCTCTTTCCCTTAAAAACCTTGGCTAGAATAAAATACAAATGAAACTTTACTAATATGGAGTTCATTGTATCTTTTACATTCTTTAATATTTAGGATAGAAAGGTACTTGCTGCTTCCAGACTGGGGAAAGAGAGGGATGTGAGTTTAAACCAATCTTGCTGCTGGAACTTCTATTTTCAGAGCAGTGATACGGCTTTCTCTGGAAAGGGAAAGGTGTTTGATTCTTCTGCTGCTGTTCTGTGTTGTCAGAGATGCTGTGGCAGGCAGTAGCTGCCCAAAACAACCCATAATTGCTGAACTTATGTGTCAGGCTGCAAAATAAGTTTTTCTGGGATGTGAGCAGAGTTGTCCTCAGACAGCATGATACAATGCACTTATATAGTGCGGTGGGTTAAAGGGGAGGGGCTAGACTAAGAGGAAACAAATAAATGTCAAAATTCACTATAGATTCTCAATAATTAACCAAACTTCTGCCTTATCCTTCCCAAACTGTCTGCTGTACGCTGTTCTTCTGGGGATGATGATACCACTGGGAACAGCAGCAGCAGTTGCAGGCTCAGCATCTCTCCCATGGCCACGGACCTCCAGTGCCTCTAACACCGCATCCATCAGGACTTCAGCCTCCAGGAATCCCTCCACTTGGAAGCAGTGCTGGCCTTCTTGCCCTCTCCAGTGCTTTGGGTGGGCAGTCTCACTTGGCAATAAAAGATGACAAGAAGCATCACGATGCAGACCACCACAGAGGTGAGAGGCATGGCAGGCCTGATTAGGACATTGTCAAATTTGCGCATTGCTGCAAATTATATGCATCTCTAAAGAATTCAAGTTACATAGAACGAAAAAAAAAAAAAACTGTTGGCAAACTTTAAAATGTCTGCATATAAACCACTGAAGAAAAATTCAACTTGGAATTTTTCAGTATTTTAAAGGGGATCACTAGGTGTCACCTGCTCTATACTTTGCAGGGCCTTTTGACATCCTGGTAAATGCTTAGTTGTAATAGCAGTGGCCTGCACCATATTGTGGAAAATTGTTAAACTGCATAATGGTGATTTTTTTCAAACAAAGTAATGTTGTTAAATGGGTGGGTGGGAAAGTAGGGGGAACAAGAAGTTAAATTTTGGAGTGAATGTGTTCAAGCAAAGGATTTAGATAATTGCATCTGTTACTTTAGTTTCATAAGCTTAAATTCTAGTACTCAGTTAAATATTGGGCAAAATTGCACTTGACTAATTTTTGAAAAGAAAATAATTTATTCTGTCATGAAATAAAACTAGGCTTTGTGTATGGTTAAACTGTAAATCATGTTTACAAAATACTGTAATTTTCAGGAAATCACTGTATTAGGAATGTGCAATGACTTATATAAATAAAAGCCATTTTAAAACTGTTTGTGGCTTGTGTTCTAATTTTTTTCCCCCCTTTTTTATTTCTGTTCTTGCCTCTGTGTCTGAACGGGCATGTCTGTCCATTTCTTGGTTACTGCGGGAGCAGACAGAGAGCCAGGCACAGTAAGTACCAACGTTCCTGCTAATGTTTCCATTTCCAATAATGTGATAATCAGATGATGTGCTGTTTGTCTGTTTTGTCTTCCTTTTAGTTATTTTCATGATACAAGGTGTGTGTGTTTTCTGTTAAGATATGTCTTGGTTTATGCGGGACCCCAGATCATCTGTTTGATGGACTGTACAAAGGAGTCTTGTTTCTGAGCAGAATGCTTTTAGGTAAACTCGAGCTTTAGTTTGCTTGTTGAAGGCAGAAAGGGGGCACAAAGTTACAAATCAAAAAGGACGTTGCAAATACAGCATTCTTAGTCCAGAGTTGAGATTTTCAGTCTCTAGGATTTTCAGGAATTAAGAGTTGGAGAACAGGTGAGAAATTTAATTGTGAGAATTTTAAACGTGTCATGATGGTGTTTGGCCCTAGGAGATTTTTTTAACTGCATCTGTTGAAGCCATACTAATGTCACTGCTGCTTAATTTATGCTTCAGGTATAACTCCTACAGTGATACTTTTTTCCCTGTAGACAGAAGCTGTAATAGATTTGGCCTTCTCTGAAAATCCCTCTAAAGAACTACTTGCTGCTTTTCATGCTGTTTGGTTTTAAGTGATATTGCTGTATTAATCTGTTAGAGATGGTCATGTGCAACTTAATTCAAGTAACAAAGCTCATTCTGTTTGTTTACGTCAGAGCTGAATTTGGGCTCTATTTTGTTCCTTTTCACAATTACAAAAGACAAGAACTAGGAAAAATTATTTGACAGATAGTTGTACAGTACTAAATTTCTGACTTTTATTGCTGCTTATTTAATATATATAAAAATTATTTCCAGTTTATTGCTTGACAATTATTTACTGGAAAGTATCTGCATATCTTTTGCAGCAGTCTTTTAGTTTTAGATTACTAAGCAAGAAGCATTCATTTCAGCTTGCTTAATGTTATTAATGACAGTGTGTCTGCAGAAATAATTTTAAGTTGGGTTTTTTATTAAATCTCTGACTTATTCAGGGCTTTTTGCTCAGTGTGGGACATACTTCTTTGAGTGCTGTTAGTTGACTGCAGGAATCCCCAGCTAGTGGTGGCTCTGTGTTTTGATTTGATATGTTTCATGACCTTTCCCTGGTCCCAGCTTCCTGCCCTGTCCATCATGCAATTTGGTTTAATTAATTTTCATTTTAAGCAATCTTGATTGAGGGTTTGAATTTAAAGTCAGGTTCTTAGCATTGTGAAATTTGGACTCTGACTTAATCTTGTAGCTGAGAGTAGTTTTTGCCTATGGAAGGAAAAGTATCAAAAATTAAACCTCACTTTTGGGTTGTGGGAGAGTTGCAGGATCACTTGCTTAGTTTACTATAGATGTAAATTTTACTTAAACTATGTAAAATTGTTGCTGCAGTTGCTTCTGTATCCATATGTCTAACTGATGATTGCTTGCTTATTACCTGAAGCAGAGTGTTTTTATGTTGGTTTATCAGTAATTAACTTTTAAATAATCTGAGTCTTTATATCATAAAGGAATTTTGCCATGTGGATACACTGAGTTTTGCATACTACACTATGGTCATTCTAGTTTCTTTCTGGCCTCAGTGCAGGATAATACTGCATAGCTAACTTAAACTTTAGTAGCTGAATACAGGTGAACTTGAACTTAAAATTCTTAAATACATTGTTACATCAAAATCTTAGCAGTAAAGGACCCCTTCAATGAAAGAATAACTCAAGAGATAGTTAAGTTCAACTCTATGACTAAAATTATCAGCTGGGAATTATGGGCTCTTCAAGCTTCTCTAATTCTCTTACATTTTTAATGGAATTTTCTTTTAATCTAAAATATAGTTTTAAGGATAATAGAATATGGGTCCCAGGTACACAAGGGATAGCAACAGGTTTGTTTGGTTGCTTTGTGTGGTTGAAATCACTTTATAACATTTGGGTCATGAAGATAAAATCAATTTGATTTTCAGAACAGCATTTTAAAAGTAATGGTGCTGCTAAAAATCCTGACAGGGATGCTTTCATCATCCAAGCCACCAAACCCCAGGCAGTTTGTAAGTTACCTATATCCAGCATGATGTTTGCTGTTACTGTGCAGTTCTACAGTATGATTTCCATCAAATATGTCTAGCATGACCTTCAAGCCCTATCAGTAAAAGCTAAAAGCTGGAAATGCCAGCTCAAAAAGTTAAAATTTAGCGCCTGTGTATGGGGTTTTAAATTGAGGTTTTGTGACATAACTTTGGGTTAAAGTGCACTGTGACAGATTGGAGCATATTAATTTTTAAATTAGATGTGGATTTATTTTTTAAAGTCTCCTTACATAAGCAGTAATGAGCTTTTATGTGTTGTATATGGAGAAATACACCAAAATGAGTGACATTCTTGTATTTATAAATTAATATACAGACATGGTTTCATCATTTTTTATTTTGGCCAGTTTAACTACTTTTGTTATATCTAAATTAGCATGACGTTTTTCTTGTATATATTAGCTCAAGTTCCAGAAAGTAAAATTAAGAAAAGTTTTTTGGTAAATCTCACTCATTTGTCTAATGAGTAACATATAAGTTAGTAATAATAGTATACTTCCTACATGAATGCTAAAACTGTGTTGTCAGGTTTAAATTACATGCCTAGGTGGGTAATGGCTGGTGGGTTTTGACTGATTTATCTCTTAACTGTCCCAAACTGGGTCGTGTTATTGTACAAATGCAGGCATCCCTTCTAATGTGGCAAATTCTGGCTGCAGGTAGTGAAGCCAGACAAAGGAAGCAAGTTTTGCAACTGAATCTGAAAGCTTTGGGAGATACCAGTATGAAAGAACTTTGATATCCACGTTTTTTTCTTTAGGAAATGTGCTTGCAGCAGTTTTCAAACTCATTGTATGTTTTCATTTATCACTTGTGTTCCCACTAGTCTAGTATCCTGTTTGACAGCACAGAAATGCAAATGTTTTGATGCACTCTGTTGTAACATTTAGTAGTCATTTTCAGACAGTGAAATCTTACTTCATTGTGTGCTTAGGGTTTACATTAGTTGGTATTTGTCTTTTGTCCTCATGAAAAATACTGAGCTTATTTTCTAAGGCCTAGGAAGTATTCATAAATTTTCCCAGATATTTTTTTGCCTTCATTGTTAAGTGTAAACATTGCTATTGTTTTGTAAAGCAAATGCTCTTTTCCTACAGTTGAAAAATATTCTATGCCCTGAGCTCTGTATCCTATTCTTTGTCTCCCAGTCTTGGAGAAGTTGGGCATGAACAACTGAGTGCTATTTCATTGAAGATATTATGTGCAAGCTGGTTTTGTGTTTTAATTCTTTCAATGGGGGAAAGAAATTCATAAAAGTTGTTATATGGAAGTCTATGGTACTGATCAGCATACCACAGGTATATTTCTTGGACTTTTTGAAGAAAGAATGGCTCCAGGGATTGCTGATCTATAAGAGCTCTGGGTTGCTAGAGCAGTTGCAGTTTAGTTTGTAGCTGATAGAAGGCAGCATAAGGTTGATGACAAAGGGCAATGGGTTTGAGATGGTTTGGTAAAAGTTTTTATGGATACCTTGATTTTGACAACAATAGCTCGAAAATACTGAAATCAACTTATTCTTTGTTAATGTAATCTGATTGTGAACTCAATATAAATTAAAGTGGTACTTGAAAAAAAGGAGAGGTCAAGTAGCTTTCCATCAGGAGTAATTTGACACAAAACTTACTGACTTCCTAAGTCAGCTTTTGGGTTTTTGACATGCGTGTTTGCAGTAAAGCATATTGAACAAATTGAAGTTAGTAATTCTGGAACAGAATAGCTTTGAGTGCAATCTTCTTTTGCCTGTCTGGGGGATATTAAAGTCCATCTTCCAGCATCTACTCTATTCCTGTCAGTGAGTCCTAACAAGGAGCAACTGGTGTTTTGGGTGTAGTTGTTAGACTTGATCCTGTTTTGCCTACTCAGCAAGGAATTGTACCTGTTCCTGTCCATTTGTGCATATCTGTAGATAGCACTGGTGTGTGGTGCAGAGGCAGGGCAGAGGCCCCATGCATGGTTAAATAAAATAAACACAGAGGCTCCACTGAGCACAGCAGGCAAGCCCAAGTCGTTAGCTGTGGTAACTGGCTGTGGTGGCTGAGGGATGTGCAGCGAGTCAGGGAATGGCCAAGCACAGAGCAGGCCATCACACATCTTTGGGGAAAAGGGGAGTGAGAGGACTAAGGAGCCCAGCACTAGAAAACATCTTAATTGGGACCAGGTGCAGTTGAACCATCTGCACAGATGTCATGTAAATACTGTTATTTAATTGATGTAATGATCAGCATAAAGTCAGTTGTCAGTTCTGCATGTGCTATTCTGTATGAATTGTCTGTGCTGTATTATAAGCGGGGTAATGGGATAAATGAAGTGCTCTCAGCCCGCGCCTCTGGCCCAGTTGAGGTTGGGAAGTGGTTCCTGTGGGGAGCAGTGTGGCAGTCAAAGAGGTGCATTTGAAAAATGTGCATTAGATTCCTAGTAGGGAGCCTACATTCTTGCTGTGCATCAGGACCAGGTTTTTGTTTTGCATTTGCCTTCTGGTGGTTTCAGTATTTAACTTTTGCTGGCAGCAGAGTTGCTTCCGGATCGCAAGTTGCCTGCTGTACAGCATTTATACAGTCTGGTAATTCTGATAGGAAAACACATGAAACTGATTTTGACCACTTCCTCTGATCTGAGCTTCATGATTTGTAAATGTTGCATTGGTAATCCTTAATGAACTGAACTCTTAAGTATGAAAGGAGTATCCTCACTCATGTATCTAATCTGTTGAAATTAAGACAAAATAAAATTTGATGCTATGCAGTTTCTCTTTAGAATATAAACTGCATGCGTGTGTGTATATATATATATACACACACACATTATTGCCCTTTTTGCTGAATCATTATTGAAGAGCTATCCCAGATGAAAATTTCTGTAGAGTTATTTTAAACAAATTACAACCAAATTCTTGTCCCACTTTTGAAAATAAGTCAGTTGTTAGTAGACCTAGTTAGGAGAACTAAACAGATCACTCTTCAAAAGAGAAAATAAGGAAACTCTAATGTTGTGAGGCTGCTGCTGCTGCCTTCTGGCCGGCCCTGTTTGACAGTGGGCATACAGCAAGTATAAACTCTACCAGAGCTAAAATGAGGAAAGGTGGCTTTTAGTATGTTCTCACTGTTCTCTGAACCTTATCATTACAAAGGTAAGAGATATTAATAAAGGCATCTATGATCATCTCTTTACCAGTTCTTGTATTTTCATTTATTGAATTTGTTCTTCAGTGTTCTGGATTTACTATTTGCACTATTGTAAAATATTCATATTTTCACATTCTTGAATGAAATCTTACCTATTTGGTAGTTTGAATTATGGTAGTAGTTTACAGTAGCAAGCTGTTTTTTCTTTACCTGGTTTTAGTCAAAGTTGTTAGAACTTTCTTGAACTTCTATGGGAAACAAAGCAAGAACTTTTTAATTTTTGAGTTTACTCATAGATTTTGCCATAAAAAGAGCATGATCTTATTTGCAATTTCTGATGTAGCTGCTGGGAAATGTAGAGCTGCTCTACAGCAGCTTCCTAGCATGGATGCTCTGATCACAGAGAACAGTGGTTTAAATTAATGTGGTAAGTTACAGAAAAGTGGTGTGAGTATGACCATAGAGGATATGTTTTGCAGAATAAGCTTGTGATGTAATTATATGTTAGTGTGAGAAACCAGTCTTTTGGAGAAAAAACAAATCTAATAATCTTTGTTTGGTGTTTAGGACTCAGTGGGACCTGGCATTTCCTATGTTATATTTCACAGTTTTGAAATTCGACAAGACAAACAGTATAAAATATTGTCAGCATTGTTTAGGTAGAGTAAATTTAAAAAGAAAAAAAAAATCAGCTATAATAGTTATGCCTATAGGTTGTCACATTTTGCAAGCTGTAACTCCAAATAGCAAGCTTGCTAAATTTTTTCCAAGTGTTGCCTCTTTGCCACCTTTCTGCTCTTCATACATTTTTTTTAAATTAAAGTGAGGAGCTGACTTTTTTTCTCTTTACTGCATTTGCTTTAATTATTTTAATCTCAATTCTTCAGTAGAAAAATAGAAATTTTTAGTTATTTTTATTAAGGAAAGTATCTCTTAACCAAAAGACTTTCTTCCTTAAGAGGAAGAAACCTTCTGGTCAAGTTTTAACTGACATCTTACTTCTTAAGGTATTTCTGCTGCTTCTTGAGATGTTTCTACTGCCACAAGCATGATGGATTTAACATTAAAATGTTGAAAATTAGTTTTAATGGTTTTCAGACTAGTGAATCCCTGAGTTTGTGTGCATCTGGGAGGAGATAAGGGGTTAAATTCTGAATGTATTTGTCAAGGCAATTAGTTCAATGATCCAACAAGCCCACCTTTTAGCCACAAAACATTTCGGTAAAGACATTATTTTGAGCTTCTTTATACTGAATTTCAATAGACCCTCCTATATATGCTTTATATAAGCCCTTTGGCATTTGTTTAGCTTGAATAGTCATGAATAAAAGAGCTTAGAGTTGGCTTTAAAGTGCAGCTTCTGAATTAGGAAAAAGAGGATTCAGATTGCCTTATGTACCCTGTTTCCTTCTCCTTCTCCTTGGGGCTAAACATTTGTGTTTGAGCAAAACTATCTTGATGTCTTCAGGTTTTGAAGGGGAAGCTATTCAGTGCACAGTTCACTGGCTATTTGTATAAATTTATGATATATTAAGGTAAATATCTGTCTCTTGGGTAGATCTAAATATGTCCTTTGAGGGCTTACACCGAAGTTCCTGTTGGTATTAGACTTCTCTCTTGAGAGAGATACGTGTCTGGATGTAAACGCCTGTTTACTTATATATTTATGTGAGCCTATATTTATTTATCTAAGCATGTACTTGGCTTTTTGGATCTAGGCTTACCAGGTCTTTGTGAAAGGAGATTTTTTTCTCAACCCATTCAGTATTGTTCGCAGCATTAACACATCAGTGAACAAATTGCCTTCTTGCATATGCTAATCCTGCACTTAAAAGAACTCATTGTAACACATTTTAATGCTTTAGCTGGAACTGAGATGGAGATGGGAATCGGTAATCACAGGCATATCAAATTGTCATGTGACTGAAAAATGTCTAAAATGCTCTTTGGGTCAACAGTTTGTACTTAGCATAACTTAGCATGAATGAAAGCAGTCCATGTAGTTTGAGGAAAAGATTAGTCTTTGCTTTTGTCTTTTGTGTGCCTGTGTTGGCCTCAGTTTTTCAGATCAAGTCTGATTAAGCAACACTTTAGCCTTAATTTCACACTAGTAGTGAATGTTATGCTGGAAGTAAAAATATTTGATCTTTGTTTGCAATCCATTTGTTGAAGGAATCAAATTGGAGCTAACTCCAGCTAACAATTGATTACTGCATAACCGTATTCAGCACATACTTGTTATTTTAGGCATTAAAGGCAAGCTGCTGTTTATCTGTCCATACCTGCAGGTGTAGGTACCAAAGCTTCATCTATTAATGGTGCTCTAAAAGTGACTGATCAATCGGATTGTGTAGTAAATCCCTTTTATTATATGTAATCTGAACATTAAAAAAATAATTAAATTGTTTTTACTTGCTCATGAATAAACTGCAAGCCTTCTTCTTCTCCTAAACAATAAATTCAGTTGAATTAATTAGTTAAATAGATGGTGACTGACAAGTGAACTAAACTTTTGATAAGTTGAACAATGAAAAGCCAAGCTTCTTAGAATGTGTGGAGCTGTATATGTTTGCCTGGAGGACTTTGTTTTGAATTAAATTGAATTGAAAGACTTAAGTATGTATCACGTTTCTAAAACATCTATCACATCAATTTGAATTTTTATGAATATATGGAGGAATCCTAAAAGGAATCTTTGATTGACCTTGATTTTTGTCTTTACAGAGTAATTCTCTGTTGGTCCCCGACAGTCTACGAAGCGATAAACGCAGGAATGGCCCTGAATATGCCAATGACATCAAAAAGAGAAAGGTGGATGATAAGGATTCCAGCCACTATGTAAGCAAATCTGTGTCAAGGAAATGATTAATTAATTTGCACATACTGTGCTTGTATGAGGAGTAAAAGAGCTGTGAAGACCAAGGCAACATTCCTATAGATGAAGTAGTACATGAATATATGTGCCAGAGAGGAACAGATTCAAATCTTGGGAAGGGCTGTGATTCAGTAGTTTAGGATATTGTGAAGTAATAGTCCTCAGTAGGAGTAGCTGTTTGGGATTCACTGTGCTCTGGGGCATTTTTCAGAGTTTGAGTGACATTCTTTCTGGACTCCTCTAGAAACTGCAGGTTTGTTTGAAATGGAGAATTTTGTTATAGTTGGTAAATTTTAATGATAAGTAGTTATTACCATGCTGAGTTATAATTACCATTACAAATTGCATATGCTGTCAAGCTGTACCAGCTTACTGAATTTTACTTCTGGCTGATAAGGCAATTCCAGCAGAAAGAAAATTGAAATGTTGAAAGTTCAGAGTTTTGTGTTCTGCATTTTTAACTAGCTTGCTTGTTGCTTGGTTTAAAAGAGACACTTCATTGCAACAATGTGAGTGAACATCAGAAGGTTCACATAGGCTTTTGACTTCACGTCTAAATTCTCAGCCAAAACACAGGATGGTATTTAAACCGGCCTAAGAAACTAGGACTGGTGTGAGAGAGTACTGAAAAGCAAAATTCAAATCTATTAGAACATACTGCACTTTAATACAGCAATAATTGGGCAAATTATCTGGTTTATGTGATTCGGATCACTAATTAATTCTTGGTTACTGAAACCCAAGACAAAATTAGGTGCCATTTTATTTTCTCAGTATTTGGAAGGGTAATTTTAATTTCTCTCCACTTGGATAATGTCTTTGAGCAGCTATTAGATATTTTAGCGCTGTTAATGGCTTTACAAGTTGTTTTTTCCACCACTTTCTAATAATAATGTTTTGATTACAGAAGGGTTTGGCAAACTTCCCCATCTTACTCCCTCAGCTTTAAGGGTTTGATACTCTATTGGCATTTTTCATTTTTAATGTTTGGAGATTAAGCATTCTTAAGCTATGCTTGATATAAAAAGGAAGGAAAAGCTTTACTTACTTGTTTTTCTTGTGTTTCTACCATAAGGAAATGTAAAGGATGCTATTGCACAGTAGAAGCAGTTTTTAATCCACATTTTAAATGTTTCTGCCCTCTGTTTGTTTGACATGGACTTTACAGCTAAAGGCAGCATCAAGTTAAAATATATCCAAGGATATTGGAAAGTTCCAGATTTATTCTAATCTTGAAGACAAGTGTTTTTGGAAGGCCCACCAATTAAGCAAATACAGATCTGCTCATTGAGCTCATTTTAGATTAATCCCTTGTAGCAACAAGGAAATACTGCTTTTGTCAAAAGGCACATAAATGAGTTCTAGGACCTGTAGCTTTTGGAATAATAATAAAAAGTGAATTTTTTCCCCCTTTTTAACTTTTGACTAATTTTCATATTAGTACCGATATAGTTTCACTGCATGAATTTATTAGTGAGGAGACTTCTGATATTGGTAGAAGTTACTGGAGATGCCTTTGATAGTCCCAGGAAGTTTCTGTTTATTAAGATGACCGAGTTGCTAGGGTTCACTTAAACATGGCTTTGCAACTATTTTTGTCCTCCAGAGGGGCGTTTCTGGCAAACCAGTGCCCCTTCTCCCACATGCTCCCACCTGTTCTAGTACTCTGGGTGCTTCATGCTTCTCAGGAGATGGCAGATAAATGGAGCTAAAGCTTCCAAGTCTTTTGTTTTCACCTGTTGATTGGATAGCTTCCTGAGTTGCAAATAGAATTACCATTGGCGCTCTTGGATCCCTAATATCCCTATTATGTTATTTCTTGGCGCAAGATTCAGCTGTTAACAGAAGGGAAGGGTTGAAACTACCTGTTGATTAGGGAGCATTTTTCAGTTCAGTTTTTGTGGGTGTTTCTTTTGGTTGGTTGGTTGGTTTTGGGTTTTTTGTTTGGTTGGTTTTGGGTGGCTCGGTTTTGTTTTTTTTAAAGCATTGTGGCCTGAAGGGAGAGAAAGTATTTAGTTTTATGTGTGAAAGCTCAGACACTTTGAAAGCAAGAGATGGAGGATAGCTGAGCAATCTTGTATGTCTGGTTTGTTTGTGTAGAAGCTTTTTAACTAAAAGTACTTTTATTGGAAATGTCAAACTTCTTCCCACAAGAAGTTAAGTTTTGACATTCACTTCATTTCTTTGCTTGATTTTGAGTCAAGACTTGCCTTCTGATTGAAACACTCTGGGGTGCTGTGGAAATCACTAGACCTCTGTATCTGAATGTGCCTACTGGGGAATCCTGGCCCCTGTTGGAGAGAGGGACCAGGAGGCACTACCATGACAGCAGTCATTGGTAGACCAGCTCAGGTGAACATCAGCCTAAGTGGAACACTCAAAATGCAGTTTGACAAGCTGCAGTAGAACATTTCTGTTTAGGAACATCCAAGTATTTTGCTTTTCTTGGGCAGAAATGTTGAAATTCCTTGGCATTTCTGAAGTTTTTTCCTTCCCAGAACTTTTGATTTCAAAACTTGCCTTTCTGAAAAAAGGAGGGAAATGGTACTATCACTTTAAGAAAGATGATTCATCAAACACGGCAAAAAGCTCTATTTTCCTGACATCTGTTTTTTGGTGTTTTTCCAGGTATGCACAAACAGTACTTTCTCTAAATTAATACAAGTTTAGTGTATGAACAGAGTACCTTTCTGTTTTAGGAGAAGTGATAACAACTGTTTATGGTGGTATTGAAGGGTGGATTTTGGACCATCTTGCTGACTGATGATGAGATCCCCATTCTTCAACTAGTTCTACCTTACTTGGGTTTTACTATTATAGCAGAAATAAGGTGTTGTGTTTCTTTTTTAATTATTGTCCCTGCTGCTAATAATTTAATGACAGGCTGTTTGTTTTTTATTTAGGAAAAACAAAAAATGTCTGAGTAGATGTGTAGTTTTTCTGTCTGGGCTCTTATTGTACTAATTGAAATGAACACTATATTTATTTATTTTTAATAGGACAGTGATGGGGACAAGAGTGACGATAACTTGGTTGTAGATGTATCCAATGAGGTAACTTTTTTCATTTTTGTAGTCTTGACGTTTGCCCAAAGGTGAAAGGAAAAGTACCTTTAGTTGTTAGAAGAAAAATAATCCTCTGTGGATATGTTAAAATATTCACAACTTCTCCTTTTTATTAGTACTGTGTCTTCCTTTAAGATTTTTCTAGTTGCCTTCTCAGTTTTTTCTTCTGCTGCTTTGTCCAGGTCTTCTCTCTCTGCAGTTAACATTCTGACACTTCACAGCTGGCCTGTAGTGTAGAGGGTTGTGGTGAACTGCATGTGGAAGGCTGAGGTTTTCAAACTCCTGTCTTTGAATGAAAAAGGAAGACATTAGATAATGTTCTATTTCATAGTAGGGTTGTTATTTAAAAAATTACCTTAAAAATTGCTTGTATTTTAATCTCCTATGTTAAAGACATTTTCCATAAATGCTGTTTTTCTAGAATGAAGTTATTTTACAAGATTGTAGACACTTTTACAAGATTATAGACACTTTTTTTTTTTCTCCAGGGTTGAGATTTGGTAATGGTATCAAGGTAAAGGGATGGGTGCCCCCTTTTCTTCATCTTTTATTTCCTATAGCACACAGATTTAGGAAGCCTGAATATGGTAGTGAGGTTCTTCAGGTCTGTGAAACGGAGAGAAGCTGGTAGGGAGACAAGTGCCCTCAGTAGCCCAAGGTGCCCAAACAATGTCAGCCAAGTAGAAAAATGGGTGTCCAACTAGTGATTTTACTAATCCTTTCAGAAGGTCGGCCTACAATGAAACTGCTTAATAATCAGTCCGTAGACTTATAGCCCTTTTGTGAGGTGTGATTTCTCCCTGTTGCTATTCTTATGAGCCAGAGGAGCGTGGAGAACCTGCAGAGCTCTGATAGCATTGTAACTCATGGGGCTGGCTATTTCAAGTTAAAGTAAATGCAGAGAGTGCCTCTGGAACAGAGAAAAATAATCACCTGAGAGGTGATTTCAGTTTCTCTGCAGATGTAAGTGGCAAGGCAATTACAGATGGTGTTTAGCAAAAATGTGGCAGCTATTATGGCATATAAAGATCCCTGTATGAGCCATTCCACCTAAGAGCTGGACTCAATGATCCTTGTGGGTCTCTTCCAACTCAAAATACTGTGTGAAATCTGTGAAGGCATGAGTCTGCCTCTTCTTCTGAAGGTAGAGATAAGCAAGGTTTTTATCACCTATAAGAGATTTTTGAAATGTTTATTGCAACTAGCAGAGCATGGAGAACATACATGATAAAAACTGTGTCAAGTTACTGCAGTTTCTGTTGGTCTTCCTTACTCTTACCACATTTGCTGCACTTTCTTTAGTTTGTACTTAAGTATGCTTTGCAAGCTCTGTGCTTGAAAACAATTTATGATTACATGTAGTGTACAATAAAAACAGATTACTTATTATATGACTTCATGTACTTCTCTAGGTTGATGAAGGGATTTCAGGTTTTTTTCTACAAAGATAACAAAACGTCTTGTCATTTGCACTTACTGTTTAAATTCTTCTAGTTTGGTGGGGTTTTTTTGTGGTTTTTTTTTCTCCCATAGACTCTTTAGTGGTGTTTGTGTACCAGTTTATGACACAGTTCTATGCTGTTCTTCCCTTACCATTGTTTCTAGGATCCTTCTTCCCCAAGGGCAAGTCCCACTCATTCACCCCGTGAAAACGGTATCGATAAAGCCCGCCTGCTGAAGAAGGATGCCTCCAGCAGCCCAGCATCTACAGCTTCTTCAGGAAGTTCCACTTCCCTCAAATCCAAGGAAATGGGTCTGGTAGGTAGCAGTCAGTGGTCCAGCTAGTCTTCTTTCTTGTAAAATCTGACTCTCCACTTTTCTGCTACTACTTGTGGCACAAATTACCCCTCATTAAACATTTGAGGCTGCAGTTGCCTACTGCTTTTTCCAGATCTTTAAAGTATTATTTTATCTTTAAAGCTTTCTTCCTCAGCAGTATTTTCTGCCTTGTTTTGATTTCTTCTATTTCCTACATTTCTGTCAAATGAGTTGCAAATTTATTACAAGGAGCAAGAGTTGCTTAAGCATTGGCTTGGTGGTTTTGTTGGAAGCAATAACTTACAGTTTTACATGGCATGTAAAACCACCATGGCATGTAAAAATCACTAAGAAGTTTTTCAGACTTTTTTGTTAAACTCTTCTAAATAGGCTGTTATTCCTTGGAGACTTTTTCTTGTAGTATCCCTAATAATTTGATCTGATTCTCTGTGTCGTGGTTTTTTTATACTCTCAACTATATTTTGGTGGTATTTTGTTTTTTGCAGTTAGATTTTCTGTGTCAAATAATAATTTAGATATTAATGATTTCAAACTAAAGTGGTTTGGTAATGCATACTGTATTTTCCTGAAGAAAAAAAAATAGCTCAGGCATTCCTTTTTATATGTCAGTAGAAGAGGGAAAATAACTTTCTATGTTTCTTATTTTAATTTTGGCAGCAATCAAAAAGGTCAACATTTCTCTCTCACGAGTTAATGTTGTCAGCATTGTGTGGATTTATGAAAATTGGCTGAGGGACTAGGTAGTAGGTGCCCAGCATCCCAGCTGCTGTTGTGATAAATTGTATAATATGGCCTGGATTAAAAATAATACTCATTTAATTTGTTTAATGATACCAGCATGAAAAAGCCAGCACGCCTGTTCTGAAATCCAGCACACCAACTCCTCGAGGTGATGTGCCAACCCCAGGCACTAGTGCAACTCCAGGACTCCGTCCAGGCCTTGGCAAACCTCCAACAATGGACCCTCTGGTTAACCAAGCTGGTAAATGCATTACCTCATGGTTTTTTATGGTTCCAGAATTAATCTTTTTTTTTACACATGTGACTGCTAACTAAATATATTGCTTTGTTCTTGATATCAAGAGAGGGCTTGATGAGAAGCAGATGTCTGGATTATCAGGAGTTTGAATATCTTTCTGTCTCTTAGTCTTCTTTGTTTACTTTTGTCTTTATCTTTTTTTGCAAATAATCCAGAGACTGAATGCAATATAAAAAGACTTCTCAGAAGTTTCTGGTACTTACTCTGCATGCAATCTCTTCTACAGTCTTTGTCTGAATCTACTAATATTTGCTGCAGTGCACAGCTTGACAAATGCCGGGGGAAGTTTACTTTTGCTATTCAGGCTGGTACACACAGTTGCTTCAGGCATGAGCTGTGTAAACCATGTCTGTCAGCTTTACTGCTTAATTTGGCAAAGAAGAGATTAATGTAAACAGGGGAATATTACAGAAATGGAAATAGGTAATGCTAGAAGAGATTGCTAGAAGTAATCAGCAAGTTCAGACTTCAGTAGATCTTATTTACACTGAAAAGAGCTGGTGGTACTGACAAATTATGGCAATGTTTCTTGACAGCGTGTGAGGGGGGAAGGCAAGGTGTTTTAGGAGAGAAAAAAAGTGGCTTCTTTCCTGTATGCAGGAATACATAAATAAACCCACTTAATTTCATGATTCTATAGCTGCAGGTTTGCGGACCCCGTTGGCAGTACCAGGACCGTACCCTGCTCCATTTGGAATGGTACCTCACGCTGGCATGAATGGAGAGTTAACCAGTCCAGGGGCAGCCTATGCCAGTCTGCACAATATGTCACCCCAGATGAGTGCTGCTGCTGCTGCAGCTGCCGTGGTTGCCTATGGAAGATCTCCTATGGTAGGCCATACGTTGCATGCAATCTCAGTCCTGTGAGTTGCGGTTCACTGAGAAAAGCTGCATGCTTCATTTACCACTGCAGGATTCCCAACTCATAACAGTGTCAGAGGCTTGACAGCTTCACTGCGTGCTTCACTGCATGCTTCACTTTGCTGTGTGGCTGAAGAAACAAATTTGCACCTTGAAAGCAAAGAATTTCAGTGTATTAGTGTATGTTTTCTTTGTCCTTCACCTTCACCAGGGCTTTAACTGATAAATAAAGGCCAAAAAATTATTTTGTGCTGCTGTAAATGAAAAAGGAGTTTTGGTACACACAAAGTATTACACTGCAGCTGTGGACATCTGCTTTTTGGTTGCTGAACCACATTTGTATTCCATATAGACATAACAAATTAATCTTGAAACATGTAAAAGTTTTTTGGTTTTTTTTTCTGGGTCTCTGTACCTGTTTTTTTGGGTTTTTTGTGGAAATCAACCTGAGAAATTGGTCAGTACCTATTTTGGAGCTCTGAGATCAGGTGTGTTAAGAATAGTTGCAGTTGTGGGTGTAGTAAGTAAATGGAACCTGGTTGTTATAGTGGCTGTCACACAGCATAACCTAGGGTCCTGACTCTCTAAACATGAGCTTTGTCTATGCAGAAAGCTGCCATAAACTTACCTACTTGTAAATTTGCAAAGTTGGATTTATGCTTGTCAACTTCTCATTACTGTTTCTATGACCACTTTTTTCAAACTGGTAAACAGGGCTTTTGTGTGAAAATGTTCAAATTTTAAATCGCTTACACCTTCCTTTTAAAGCAATAACAATGTATAATGCTCAGAAGAAAAACTAAGACTTTTTGGTCAACTTTTTCTGCTTGGATTATTTTATAAACATACTAAAGATATAAAAATTCAGTGAAATTTCAGTATGTAAAGAGAATGTTGGTTTTTTTTTAAGCTGTGGATGAGCTTGTTTGCACCCCACAATGTGTCTGAGAGATCTCTCAGCTGCTGTGCCCACACAGAATGCTGTGGAGGCATTGAGATCCTAGCTGGGGCCCAGAACTACTTTCCAGCACCTCCCTGTGCCAGCCTGAGTACGTGCTAGCTCTCCCAGGAGTGAAAAGCACTGGCATAGCTTGTTGCTGACATGGGCTCTTGATTCCAGGGCCAACACAGGACTCTCCCTGCTAACCCGGACTGCTGGGTAATGCTCAGTGTGTGAATGCATGATAAATTATTTTCTGCTTTCGTATGAGTACTTCTATCAAAAGAATGCTCAGGAAAAAGGTCTGGGTTTTGCCCCCAGTGGAGGGCCATGCAGTTGTCTGATACTGGGGGTAAAAGCCACCTTTTGGTTAAATGCAGAGTATCTTGGGAGTGGAGAAAAGAGACTTGCTGAGAAATGGATGAGAAATTCCAAGTGTAAGATTAATTCACTTTTTGTTGTCAGGTTGGGTTTGATCCTCCTCCTCACATGAGAGTACCTGGAATCCCTCCAAATCTAGCAGGGATTCCTGGGGGAAAACCGTAAGTAACTTTTAACATTTTGGTAACTTCTGCAATATTTAGAGGGAATGAAGTTATTATTATTTGTCAGTGAACAGGGATTTCAAAGGGGATGGTGTCTGGTTGTTTTTAAGAGGGTATTTTAGACTTCTCTAGGTAAAACCTGCATCATAAAAGTTCTCAAATGGTAGTTGTCATATCCCAAAACAGGTATGTATTTCCTAACAACGTATTTCCAAGTCGTTGAAGGTAAATGTTAAGGGTTTTTTTATTTCATTCTTTCTGGGGAAAGTTAAGGGGATGACAAGCTAAACAGTAAATAGTGGTAAAATGTGTTAGATAAAAATATGTTGAAACTAAAATTTGCACTACATCAGGATAAATGTGTTTTGCAAACTTGCTGACTCCTTGTCTCGCACTTGTTTTATCAGGCATGGGAGTCTGCAACTGGTGACAGGAGGTATCTGGAGCAGTTACTTTAGCAACAGATTACACATACTTTGCATAATGGAGCAAGCTATTTAGAACTTTTGTGTGAGTGCAGCTGGAGAGCAAAAGGATGATGAAGCAGTTGTGGAGCAGGTGGTGCATAGATACAGAAGAGGCTCCACAATAAGTATTTTTATTTAAAAGTTTTGGTTATTGGTGAAGCAGTTATTAAATAAAATGGTTCTGTGATGCTGTGACTTATTAGTATTTCAATAAAATAAGTTCAGCAGCATACATGAAATGTTTCAGTAATTTGGCTTTAGTAGACCACTGACCCTGAACTTCACCAGTGCAGTAGACTCATGAGCATGTATGACCTCTGAAAATACACAATTAATGTTTACATATTTCTGGATGAGTAGTCTATGTGGATACTAACAGAGCAAATTTAATTCAGCTGTTTTTCTGGAGAGAATGAGGCAGAGAGTACTCCTAACAGTTTTTTCAACACTCTGTTAGAACCTGTTCTTTGTTCACACTTGACAGTCAGTCCTGACTTCTCATTCAACAGGAGCTTGCAATTAGAGTAGTTTTTCTCTACTTAGCTGCTTACATAATTTTGAAACTTATTTAACACATTGGACTTTCTGTGCAGGATGTTAATGTTTCATAATGCCTATTTACCAATCTATATTTAATTTTTCCTTTTGCAGTTTCAGGAAACATTTAGAAACTATTACTTTTAGGATGCCAAGTTGTCTGACAGGCTGTGGTGAAAACTATATACTCACGCATTTCTGTTTGCTTTGATTTTGGACTAGTGATACCTTCTAATGTCAGTCTTGCAAACATCCTTGAAAGAATACCAGATTACAGGCCAAAAAAAAAGTATGTTTTCTTCTGATTTTTTCCTATAACAATAGGGAAGCAGCAGACTTGGTTTGGAAAGCCATCCTGAATGAGTTTTTGTGGTTATCCACCATGCTTCTGGGAACAGGCTTAGCTATCTGTTGACAGTGTGAGAAACCTGTTAAATCTTGGTTGTACTTAGAGCTGGTGGTGTGTTGACAAGATTAGTGAAGTGAGGGCTCAATGAGTTGGTGTTGTGTATCAAATGTGGTGTATTTAAATTTAGTGCAGTAAGGATCAGGCTTTGTACTCAAAACTCAGACATAGTCTTGCTGACTGTCATACAATTTGGCATACTTAAATGCTTTAAAAATCACATAATTGAGTGGCTCTGTGTTTTTACTTCTAAACAAGTGTGTTCATAAGCTTTCAATAACATATTACATTGCCTTGCAATATTTTATATTGTAATCTAGTGAAACCTATTTTTGTTCAGAAATTTTGTTCACAGAAGTTTTCTGTGGCTGAGTTCTAGTTGTTACACTGTTCAAGGACAGCATACGTATACTGCTCTACTTTGTATCCTGGTAATTTAGCTGAATTAATCAGGAGTGGGGGGAAACTATGGGAGTTGCTTGGGTTTTTTAAATGTTTTTACCACTTTATTAACACTGCTTCATATATTGCCTGCTTCGATACATATGCCCTAGTCACCACTTCATTTAATGTGTTCTGCAGTGTTTGGGGGTTTTTGTGGTCATGTTACTTGTATATTTCTTCTGAAATTACTTCTTTGCATATCTTAATGAAGCAAGTCTAAAATTTTTATAAACTTGTGGAATTGTCTTTCCATTGACAACTATAAAACAATCTCATGTTCTAGTCTTGATTGGCTAGATGCTGTCTGCTACCTGCAGCATTTGCAAGTATCTCACCTGCTTCAGGTTTTTCTCCTGTAGTTTCTGTAGAGAGCAGATATAATCATGCAAACTGGTGGAGTATGCTTTGTTTATTTTCAAAGTCAGCCTTTTTCTTGATTGCCGATACGCTGACACATTGAATTTGTTTTATTAGATGTGAAGTTTTAGTGAGTCTTGTTGCAAGTGCTACAGAGAATTTTTTAATTGAGCTATTGAATCCTCATTCATATGTGTATGCTTTAGGCTGCACATTTTTTATCAATGGTTATGATTATACTGTTTTTTGACCCAAGAGAAAATTATGCTCCCTTCTTTCTAAAGACAGACGCTTCTGAGGTCTGTTATTGATCTTCTTGTTAGAAAAATATGTAGCCTGTTAAAAACCCACTTGGACATGAAAATGTGGTGTCTGAGTCTTGAATGCTTTTGTTCTGATGCTTTTAAATATGCCCTGGATTGTAAGTTTTTCGTGTGTTGCTCTAATTTTTTTTTTTCTTTGCATAGTCTTTCTAACAAGTACTTAGCTTTTAGTGTTCTATAGCTGCTGAAATAACATTCTTGTGGATTTCTGGTTTATGTGAACCATGCCTTCTAATAGCTGGATTTTGGACTAAATACAGAATTTCAAGATTAGTGGTAAGATTTATGTCCACAGTACTGCTTCCTTGGTGTATAAAATTCTGACTTAATGTTAATATTGAGAACAAATGTATTTCTCAGCATGTTTTCCTGGGCAGTGAAAGCAGCTGAAAATATATGCTTCTAATTCTAGTAGGAAAGGAAAAGTTTATGTGGTAAATGTTAAATCTTCCTGCTTCTACTTGTAAGTTGACTTTTCACTGTGTTTGTGGAGAGGTATACTATACTCTTTTGGAATTGCTTGATTTCAGTTCTGTTCTTCAGATCTTCATATTTTACAGTGAATGTACAATGAGAGATACTGTAAAGGACAGCTAATTTTACTGTATTATAGGAGATTAAGGGCTGTGTGCATCCCTGCCATTTATCTCTAAATAGAATCATTTGGTGACATGTTTGAAGATGAAAATTCGGTCATTTCTGTACAAACATATCTATCCTTGTTGGCATTTTGTTCTATATGATGAAACAACACGCTCGGATATTCATGTTTTTTTGTGATAACTACAATTAAAAATGAGCTGAAGTGCAAAGAAAAGCTGAAAGCAAAATGCAGTTGTGAATGGAAGGAACTTTTTGCTTTCTTATTTTGCTGTGGGTGGTACTGTTCTGCTAGTTAAAGAAGTCTGCTTGAATTGAAGGGATGAAGTGGAAGTTTTTGAGGGATTTTTTTTTTAAGACCTTACTTTAGTAGGCAGGAATTGTGTGCATTTGTACATCAATCTGAATACTTAGAGTAGCTGGCAGGTAGTTTAGTTCATTTCCTTTATTCTTGGGTAGTGAATTAATTATCCTGAACTCTCCTCAGCATGTCAGATGATACTGACTTGCTGTATACTTATTTGGAAATTTGAGAATTCAGCTGAGAAACTGGTTTGTATTAGTATCACTTAACCATGTTGCTGGGCATAGGAATTCTGAGGGTTCTCAGTACTGCTTTGACACACGTGGGAGAAGTCCCTGGATGCAGTAATTCAGAAGATTATTTCCATTATTCAGAAATAATATAAGTATACTATTTCTCAGAACTCTTTGAAGCAAAATGCACAGACATTTGTCTTATAATTGTTCTTGTCGTAGTATTCTGTTAATATCTATTACTTGATATGTACTTACCTTATTTTTATATTGCATTTTTAAATTGCATTTTTAGAAGATAATTTTCTTTGTTTGTTGTTAGCCCAACACAAGGAAGGACTCTCCTTTGACCAAAGAGGGATAATCATGGAATCAATGATAGGATAGCCATCTTTCATACAGGCAGAATGTTCTGAGCGAGACAGAAAACTGTGCTAGTCTTGAGACTAAACAGCAGTTTCTGGCATACGTGATCAGTTCTAAAAGAAAAATGGGTGGTCGAGTGGTGCCTGTTAAGTCCCGACCTTTAGGAAACTCAAGAATTTGTCAGATTTTGCTAGTTGTTGACTCCTATGAGGTTAGATAATGAAAATTCTTGTAATTTTTGAGAATTGAGGCCTGTCTAGTGCATATGTCTAGTGCACTAAAAATTGAATCTTCTGTAGGTGTGGACCTGTAAGTACAGTCCTCCCCAGATGTAGCAGGATCTCTTTCATGATGAAGAGGAAGGCAAAGACTGCAGCGTTTGAGCTGCAAATAATCATTTGCACTCCTGCTGTCTCCGGTCCCGTGTTCTTCTGGAGACAGACACTTTTCCTTGTCCAAGAGTGTATGGAGTGTCAGTTTGGCAAACCATGCAAGCCTTTTCAAGGTTAAAAGGTATCATGTAACAAAAGTTATACAATAATACCTAGCAGAGACGAGTCGCTAGACTGCCATACCATACGTATATGCTGGCAGTGGTGATGTCAGCATTACATGTGACATACCTCAAAGCAAACAGGAACATTTACTGTTTTGTGTGCTTTTCTTGGCAGAGGGATTTGGCAAAGCGTAGCCATTTCTTTCTACAGTGGATTGCAGATAAGTTGCACTGTAGAAAAAGCTGTCTTGGCTTGTAAGAAACTGGTCTGGTTGTTAAACCATCAAACTAAGCAAATGCTAAAAAAGAGGGACTGCTTCTATGATTAGTATAGTCCCTTTTTAAACGTAGACATAGTGGTAAAATTCTACATGATTTAAAAATACAGTAGGTAGGCCTCTGATATTTCAAAGCATAAGAGTCACTACAGTTCTACAGTAAAGAGGAAGTACTTGAAAAATGTTTCTATTGTCTTCCTCACACCCCATCTCAGCAAGAACTGAGGAGCTCTGTGTATGCACCTAAGCATTTCAAAACACTAATTATTTAGGTAGTTTGAATTGAACAGAGCATTTAAGCTGTAAGCTTCAAATTAAAAAAAAAAAGTAAAGGACAAGTAGATTATTAATCTTGGACATGCTGGAAAAAATTGCCTAATACGTGCTTAATTGTTTTGCTTCAGTCCATGATAAAAGCAAGGGTGGGCTGAAACTTCAAAGTTACATGATTCTGTGTACTCTTACTGTTAGCAAATACTCTGCAACTGACTTTGATCTGGAGCCCAGGATGGGCAAAGCTTTTCAGTGTCTTGATGCTGTGACTCTTTTGTTGGATTCTGTAGATGAACCTGCGCAGTTCAGCCTCAAGCAGCCTTGTTGCCACTCCTGTTCTGCTTTCTCTCCTGCCCCATGTCTGATCTGTTTAGTGAATACCTGCTTTGGGATTCAAAGGCAGGATTTGTAGGGCCTACAATCTTGTCTCTCTTCTTCTCCGCAGAAAGGAATGGGTTTCTAGTTAAGCCTTTATCATTACTGTAATTCTTCATAGAAAAAGACGAAAAGGTTCCCACGGGACAAAATACATTTGATATACTGTGTGCTTTGTGTACATGTAAGGGAGTGAACACTGCACTTCCTTTCTTACCTTACATTTCCCATTCCTGTCATTTCTGTGCCAAAAAAGATGTCATCTTTTGCACTTGCTTGTTCTCTATTTCTGTGTACTCTCTGAGTAAGCTTTCTGCTTATACGCCCAACCATGAAACATGAATGAGTACAGGAATTCCATGCATATGTACTATTCATTTCTCCTCTGTTTAAGAGCAGTTGCTGTTAAACATTTTTTGCCCTTCACTTAAGACTTGGGATATTGCATAGATTGACTGTTTCCAGTCTTAGTTTCTGTATGAAAGAGCTATGGAGTTCTTTCATCTCTCCTCATGGTTTTTCAAAGGAATATCTTATGCCCAGAAGCAGAGCAGATTCAGTTGCTTTGTGATGTCTGTTCCAGAACCAGGCCTCTTCCTTGTTTCTTCATTTCAAACTATGTGATACTTGGGAACATGTAAAAAAATGCCTTGAAAATACTAGCTTATTATTCAGGACTGAAGATTTAATAGAAATATAGCTATTGTTGGGTTCTTGGAAGATGGATGGAGTACTAATAGTTGAACTACAGTGATTGAAGATTTCCGAGGAAAATAAAAGGAAGTTCTGAACAGAAGAATATATTAGAAAAATAAATGTTTCAGTAGGGCAGTGGCATCTTATTAGTGGAAAAACCAAAAAAAGAATACTTATCTCTCAGCGTTTTTTATCCACTTTGGCCTCTTGAAGGATGTTGTTGATGTAACAACAGCATCAAAAGCATGATGGATGCACTTACAACAAAAGTAACAGAAAAGGAGCTCACTAGTATAGCAAAAGCCAGTATTTTACAGTAGCATTTTCATTAGTAGTTAAAATAAACAAAAAAAGAACCTCCCCCACATCTGAAATTACTTGGGATTTGTGCCCTTGCCCTTGAGCAGAGCTGACTTACTTTTCAGTGACCATGAAAAAATAATTTCATGTACTTTCCCTGAGCAGTGTTTTTAATTCAGTGCTAGGACGTCACTTCCTCAACCTTCAGTTTCCACAAACTGGAAATCATGCAATGAATACAGATAAAAGGTATTTCTGAAGTGCCAAAAGTATCTGGAAAACTGCGCCTTTCAGGTTTTTCAATGTACATATTCAAGAAAACATAATTTTGAGAAGATGATATCAGCTTTCTGATGAAATCTGTGTGCAGCCACTCTGTGTTTCTATTTTCTGTGTTTCTGTTTTCTAAAGCACTACTTACCAGCTGGAAAGAGGGGTATATGAGCACAGGCAGTGGTGATGTTACAAATGAGGTGCAGGAATCAAGCAAAACTTTGTTTTGTGGTGCCACAAGGCAACAGGTGCAAGCCTCATGGAGGGATGAGTAGTGCCTGGTGAGGCACTGCTGCTGCAGTATTTGTGTTGATGAGACTTGCAACTGCTAGCTGGAAACCGGGGGCTGAAAGGTCTTGCGATTATCCAAGTGGCTGAGGGATAGTGGCCATGACCTTGGTCTGTAGAGTTAAGGGTGGAATTTAACCTGCTTTCCCATGACACAAATATTTCAGCTGAGTCAAACTGAAAATTTCTATTGTGACTTTTTGTCTCCATTTGAGGTTTCATCTGCCTGAATTACTTGGCACTGTAGCTCTTTGCTACAGTAGATTTTTGCAAGATGATTGGCAAAGAACTAAAATTAAAAATACTGTGTTTTTCTTGCATTGTAGTTCTGTAATGGCTGATTTTTTTAATTGTTTTGTCTTCTCTCTTTTCCTTCCCCAAAAGAGCCTACTCCTTTCACGTCACTGCAGATGGTCAGATGCAGCCAGTCCCTTTCCCTCCTGATGCCCTCATCGGTCCAGGAATCCCTCGCCACGCCCGTCAGATCAACACCCTGAACCACGGTGAAGTTGTGTGTGCAGTTACCATCAGCAACCCCACGAGACACGTGTACACGGGTGGGAAGGGGTGTGTCAAGGTTTGGGACATCAGCCAGCCTGGCAACAAGAGCCCCGTCTCTCAGCTGGACTGCCTGGTAGGTGAACAGGAATTTATGCACAAGGGTAGCTTCTCCTCAGAGACTCAAAAAAAAGTCCTTGTTTGGATTTTGTTCATATTAGAAGGAAATAGCAGATCTGTTTCCTGGTGTCCTTTTCTCTTTTTTCAATACATAACAGTATCATGGAATGTAGTGCTGGTTTGTTTAGTGATAATTATCACTAAGGGTCAAATAACAGATTAGCTCAGATTTCTGAGCTAATAGAATGTGTATGTCATGTTTTGAATAAAACACAGTATTTTTTCCCCTTTCTAGTTATACTGATGATTTTTGTGCATGAGTTTAAAAGGCATATAGCTTGTCTTATGCAGGGCTGCAGAGAACCTTCCTAGGTCTTTCACGAACACAAGGAGCAAAAACCTCATTTCTGCAAGATGATAGCAGCCACATACTGGAATAATGAGACACAGTAGCAAAGGTCACTTAAAGTTTTGCTATGATTTTTGTTCACGATCCACTAGTTATACATATAGGCTGGTTATTTTCACATGTGCAGGGTACAAAAGGGACTGGATGCAATAGTATATAGGTAGCTGAAAAGTTAACTCAAAAAAAGTAATGGCTCAATAAGAGATGCTTCTCACTAGAGGCAGCGTAAAGGTCTGTGCGGTGTTAACTGAGAAGACAATGCTGTCAAGCACAGCAATATGTATTGTGAATGAAAATTCTAACTTCAGTGTAGATCTAATTAAATGTGGTGGGTTTTTTACCTTTTATCCTTTCTTTACTGCTATCATTTTGTAATAGCTGAGTAGTAATAGTGAAGTTGAATAGGTATTCTGTTCAGTGGCATGTATATCTGTCTGGATGAAGAGCCTTCATTTAAGTCGGGGAGCAGTAATGACTGATTAAGTCAACATTTTCACTGCCCTACTTCCTGCTCCTTTGCTGCAAATTAAAAAAATATATCATAGTAGGAATACTGTTAACTAATTCTTGCAGTGTTTTTTCTGTCTTAAGTTACAGATCTTTATCATCAATTTTGTAAAAAAAACTGTTGCCAGTCAAGCAAGGCTGTAATAAGGGAAGGTAGAAATGTCTTCTGTCACTAATTCCCCCACAGTACCTCTCAAATCAACAATAATATCATGAAGGAGAGATCAATATGTACAATAAGAATAATGTTGAACAACAAAGGACCAACATAAATACAGGACCAATATAGGAATCCTTAATCTTTCAACTTTAATACTGTGAATGAAAAAATAGTATTTGAAAGAAAAATTCAAAAACCTGAAGCGCATGAGACTAGAACGACATTTTCATATAAGGCTGTTAAATGCCAAATGAAAGGTCATTTGCTTTAATATTTCTATTGTTGGTGACCTTCACTGATGGAGTACATTTGCAGAAAAGCAAGCTTACTTTGGCTCTATTTTTGTGTAATGAGATAGAAAACTTGCCATTTGTCACGTTTGAAACAGAGTAGACTGTGGCAACAGGAGTCTGCAGTTTTAATTTCTGCAGCTGCAGTTTCTAATTAGTGATGAGAAGTAGGTGTTTCCAACCTTTTAAGATCTGCTGGCTCCTCTTCAGTACTTTGGTAATGGAAAAAGTACCACACTGCTTGAAACTTTGATGCAGTCAGAATTATATTAGTGGTCATTACTGGCAGGCACATAACTGAGGTGATTTGTGTTGTACAGAACAGAGATAACTACATCCGCTCCTGTAAATTGCTGCCCGATGGATGCACCCTCATCGTTGGCGGGGAAGCCAGCACATTATCCATATGGGACCTGGCAGCTCCAACTCCTCGCATCAAAGCAGAGCTGACATCCTCAGCACCTGCCTGCTATGCTCTGGCTATCAGCCCTGACTCCAAGGTGTGCTTTTCCTGCTGCAGTGATGGGAACATTGCAGTGTGGGATCTGCATAACCAGACATTGGTCAGGTGAGTCGTTGTTTACAGAAAATTTTAATAGAAGTTACTCTTTGGACAGCTACATAAATATTTATCTCCCTGAATAGGGTTTAAAGCAGCAAAGTAAATAGTGTCTTTTATTCAGGGGAGTGGTTTACACCCAAGTCAGGCAGAAGCTAGTTTTGGTAGTTTCGGCCTAGTCTCGGAAGATATCTTTTAGGGTTTGTCCATAACCTGCTGTAGTCAATGTAGAAGCTCCTGCAGGTCCTCCCTGTTATTTGATTGGTCTGCAGGTTTCTACAAGCAGCGTTCTTGCTGGTTTGTTACTGGTATGGACTGAACATGCCTTCGAGGGAACGTGTGAGATTTGCTCTTTTCCTTTGTCTTAGGCCTTGTTAAGTAGAAAAAGAGTATTTTCAATTCCTATTTAGCAAGGATAAGTAGTAAAATTAATCTTACAATTAATCGTACAATTTTTCCTAAACTGATCCTCTCAGTTCTTTAGGAAAGCAGAGGGGCTTACTATAAGATAAATTTAGTTTAGGCTTATCAATGGCTTACAATATTTTGAGAAGAGTTCTGAACACAAAAACTAAAGAATATGCTTAGTCCGCTGTGTTTCAGTTAAACTTCCTGTATATCCACAATTAGCTGAAAATTACAGACAGAGAGTCATGTTAATGTGCATGCAATATTTTTCTTTCTGTTGAACTTAAGGTCAAGAAGTACAGTTTTAGTTACATAAAGTTTGCACTTTATCATGTGCATGCTTAGTCCGTGTAAGGCTGCACTGTGCAACATCTATACACATCTGTGAATGTCTTGCCTTTTAAATGTTTGCTGTATGTGTTCCCACCACTTGCACGCTGATCTTGCTGGTTGATAGCACATGGAATTTTGAGACCAGAGCTACTAAACAAAACATGCCGTGTGACCTTTCTGTGGCAGCTCTTGGTGATTCATACCCTTCCTTCACAAGCTAGCTGTCTTTTCCCCACCCGCCCTCCGCCTTTCGCACTGAGGCACAGGACTTTGCTAAAGCTAATTGCTGATGAAAAATGCAGAAGCTCCAGAATGCTTTTGCCAAAGGATTAAGAAAAAGTTGAGATGACCTTCTGGTTGCTGAAAGCTGAGATTTGCTAATGAGAAGGTTATAAAACTGCTCCGTTTAGATTTTTCTAATCTCCTGCCACAGAGAATGCAACTTTGTGACTCAGCAATGCTTGTGTTTAACTATCTGGATCTCTATCTGGATCCCTTTCTATTAGTATATCTGCTTGTTATTTATCTTCTTGACCTGCAGCCAAAAAAAAATGCAGAAGCTGTTTTCTGAAATTGGAGGTTTTATTCTCTGACCACTTCAATTTTATCTGAGTTATCCTTAGTGGTTTTTAACTGTAGTTACTGGGCTTTAATATTCTCACAAGTGGGTATAGGCTCTTTTGGGGGGGTTTGTTGTTTTGTGTTCTTTTTTCAAAACCTGATAGGAAATATTTTACTTTATTCAGCTAGCCATGATGCAGATCATTTCTCTAGCACCTGGAAAATGTTTTTTATTAATACTGGTATTTAATGCTCAGTGAGAGGCTGATTCTTGCTCATCATCAGACACAGAACAGATGACACATGTTCAGAGTCCAAAACTAACACCACAAAGTGTTTACCTTGAGCTCTGGCAGGAAATCATTATTCAATCTGGTTTGTTTTATCAGGCAATTCCAGGGCCACACAGATGGAGCCAGCTGTATTGACATTTCTAATGATGGTACCAAGCTCTGGACAGGAGGTTTGGATAACACTGTCAGATCCTGGGACTTGAGAGAAGGGAGACAGCTACAACAGCATGACTTCACATCACAGGTAACTGGATTTTCCCACAGCTTGTGGCAATATGTGGGGTGGGAAGGAAACCCATAGGATCAAATGTAAGACTGAGCCCAGTAGAAGTAGCAGATTGTTCCCTCGCTTCCTTTTGGCTGCTCTCAACACAATATTTTGAAGCTTATTTATGTGCTTAGATTACAGAAGAAAATGATAGCCTGACACTACTCTTTTTCTAAGTTAATGTGTAAAAACAAGGGTTATTTAGTTACTCAAATTTTGAACTGCAGTTTTGCTATTGAACTATGTAAATTTGCCCTTATCTCTCTCTCCTCCCCCCCCTTTCCCACATAATTTTAACTGCAGAAAATTTATCTATAGGAAAATAATTAAAAGGTGTAAATATGATATAATTTTCAGATATTTTCCCTTGGTTATTGTCCTACTGGTGAATGGCTAGCTGTGGGAATGGAGAGCAGCAATGTCGAAGTGCTACATGTAAATAAACCAGACAAGTATCAACTGCACCTTCATGAGAGCTGTGTATTGTCACTCAAATTTGCTTACTGTGGTAAGTTGTCCTGAACATAGAACTGGAGGTCAGGGCTCTTAATTCATGTTTTGCTGATTATTTATTTCATAGTCATTAGTTATTACATCTCAGTTTCTTAAGTAATGCATAAATATCTCTGCTTTGTGAATTCAAATGCACTTATCTACAAACAGCCATCTGTTTGTCTAGAGGCTGCTGTGAGGATTGATTCATGTGTAAAAAGCTATGTCTGTTTGAAGTTTAGGGATTTCCTAGTATGTAACACACTGCAAACGTGCTGAGCATCCACATTGATTGTAAGCAAAAGTACTGTGTTGATTTGTAGTAAGAGCTTTTATAAGGGCAATTAGTTAACAGATTTCATTGGTGTGAATTGAAAATCCAAAATCTGTCACATGTCTCTTTCATGTTTCTGTAATCCTTCTGGTTTATATTCTAGGTAAATGGTTTGTGAGTACTGGGAAAGATAACCTTCTTAATGCATGGAGAACTCCATATGGAGCCAGTATCTTCCAGGTGAGGATAATGTTGCTTTTCATGAAGAAAAAAAAAATAAAGCAGAGTTCCAGGAGTGGATTCAGATATCTTCACATATGTAATCTACCTAAAATGAGATGATGGAATGATGGTAAACAGACTTTTTTTTAATGATGTAATATATTTCTATTTTTCTTCTAGTCCAAAGAATCTTCATCAGTGCTTAGCTGTGACATCTCTGTGGATGATAAGTACATTGTCACTGGCTCTGGAGACAAAAAAGCTACAGTCTATGAAGTTATCTACTGAAAAACATGATGGGGATATTCTTTTAGAGGTTGAACTGGGCCAAAATTGTTTGTAGAAGTAGAAAGGTTTTGAATTTTTGAAAGGAACAAAAGTGTTGAGGTTCCAGACCTTGCCATGAAACTACTCCGATTTTTCAAAATAGAAGGCAACGTCCTGCAACTAAGTATTGGCTACATGGACCAGACGGAACACAGAGGCAAGATGGGCAAGTGTAGCCTAGGTTTTTGACATAATTTTTAAAAGCCAAGTCTACTGAAGAACGTTGGAGCCTTTTATTTTTTTTCTTTTGTGACCTCATGCAATTTTTTCTCATTGCCTGAATATGGGGGATAAATACCTTTCTGTTCCTTGCAGTTCAAGTTGCATTCTGTCCTGGGTAGAGCAGCCATGTCTCAGATGAACTTGTTTCCTGGTTTTGCATCTTGTGATATGTTTTTGTATTTTTGTTGAAGGTCAAACATTTGTATAAATTGTAAATATATTTAGTTTACTACAGTAAAGGCTTTAGTACCAACAACCAGTCTTCCCCCTTGCCCCCTCCCTGCTTGCCCTGCTTATTTAAAATTAAAAACCTTTTGGGGATATAAGTACCTTTTTAGAAGCAAGAGCAAACACTATGTATAGTTTGAAAATGGTGTCTTATTCTTTATAACTGTTCTTAGATTCCTTTATCATATTTCGAAGTAGATGATTTGACATACTAGGATATCAAGTCCAGTAGATATTGTCTTGTTCTACAGAAAACTTAAAGGCAGTTTTGTACTAATTATAGTGTAAATATAAAAATTGAACATTTCATAAAGCTGTGCAGTTTATTTTGATGTCCCATGTATATGTTCTTTGGTAGATACAGTAATATGTGCCTGATCATAACACATTTGGTCATTTCTCTAGAAGAGGAGGTGTCTTCCCTGTCATTTTTCTCCCCCAGCTGAACAGAATTCATGTGAGACTACATTTCAACTAAGTACATCAGAGCCTTTATTTGTTATATGAGGATGTCTGTGATTAGAGAAGTTGCATCCTTCATGTGTTACAGAGAAGTGGTAGTTAGTGGCCATTTCCTTTTTAAAATCTTGTCTATACTTAGATACTCAGGTAAATTTAACTAAATTACCAAAAGTGTGAGTTTACAGGGGATTTCTTAAAGATGTTAAATACTTGCAGGGTAGCAAGTTAAGTGAATTAACATAAACTAAGTTGAAATCGCTTCTTAATTTCTTGTGAGAATAATGACAAAGGAATATTTTGATTTTTAACTAATCCACTCTACAAATTAATTAGAATTAATTTTCCTGAGTGTCCTATGTTATGCAGGCCTGTAGGCTCTATGTATTCATGCTGAGCAATCTGTGAGTCCTTTCCATTGTTGCATCACTGTGTGACATCTGTGAAGAGCCATGATAAGCAGCCAGTTACCAAAGCTATGCATCTTCAAGTTTTCTTAGTGTACTCAAGAGCAATGGATGAGGAGAGAATGTGTTCACTTTATTAACTATTATTTTTTCAGGCTAATGTGTTCTACCACTGTTTGCTAGACAACAGACTTTGCTGTTGCACTGGTGGGAGCTGTACATTTCCTACATTCTGTAATTTGGTTATAATTTCTGTTGCTCATGGAGAGCACAGATGAACAGAAGGATATCTTTGAACAATTAATTTAGATTACACAAACTGGCAGACAGAAGAAGAGCTGCTTTCTCATTTTTCTAGCATTTGATGATGGCCTATATCCCTGCTCTTTCAAAGACACGTAGTTAGGAAGAAACAAGCTTGACTGACAGGTGTGTTGATTGGATAAAGAATTTTTCATGTGGGGGCAAATTTTATCTAAGATTCTAGTCTGAAGGGACGTAGGTTTTCCTTTTGATTTACATGACCGTTCTACTGAAACCAAATTATAGCGTCTAAAACTGTAATAGCCTTAACGTACTAACATTCCATCCAGAATGTAAAATATTACCCATCCAGGATAATCTGGTCTCCTAGAATTTTAAAAATAGCATTGTATTAATATGTATCCATATATTTCTTTGTTGATTTTTTAGTTGTTAATTTGTATCTGTATGAAAATGACGGACAAGTTTAGATGCTGATCATGTTGCTTTCAGACATAGTGGGGCAGAAAGCAGAATCATGAGGCTTTTCAGAGAATTAACTGTATTTGCTACACTGATATACTGGGAAGTGCTGTGCCATTTTTACAAGGGAAAGTTTTAAAACAAGAGCATTTACAAGATTACTTGATTTTTACACTTTTCATATTGAAATTTCTCTGAACATCTGGTTCTGGCAGTGATCATTGACTTTAGCAGCACTGGCAAATTTGCTTTAATTAGGATCTTTTGGATTTTTGCCAAACTGCTATCACCTTGGCTTTTACTTTATAGGTATCCTTTTGCTGTTCTCTGAAGTCAACATCACACAGGAGCCAAGAATACAAGTATTCTTACACATCTATATCAATTAAAAAGACCCAACATGTGTAATTGGTCTGCTATATATTGTGGCATAGGGCTTGCTAGCAAGGTCACACTTGTCAATCCAGAGATTCAAAATCATAGTGTCAGAAGAATCATAAAATACCTTGTTTTCTTGGCTTCTAGAATGTACAATGAGTCAGAGCAGTTATGGAATCAGAAATTTATGTGCATGAATTTAATCATATTTGTACCATGTATTTCTTGATTGTAATTAAGAAATTAATTCCTTTTTTCCCCCCTATTATAAGCCTTGGGTCTGAAAATTAGTGGATACATCTGAAAGCTTCTGGATGCATCATCCATACTTGTGGATGAGTAGTTCTCTCCATTTGTTGTTTCAGATTTCACTTAATGTTTATAAAATTGTGAGTCTTTTGATTTGTCAAGAGAGTAAAGCATATTCTACTTGCAGATGTAATTTTTAATGAAAAGAGAGGTTTGCTGAACTTCTAGCATGTCTGTCTACACAATCACCTAAAAGATGTAAAACTTGTGAAGCTTAAAACTTCTGTAAGTTGTTATAGCCCTGTGTAAAGTAGTGGGTGGAAATAATTGCCCACTGAATGAAGAAACAGACTAACCAAGGTCAGCGGTAACAGAAAAGGCACTGGGGAAGCCATGTGGAGAAGAGAAGTGCATCAGTTACTATTGTATAGGTAATTCTGTTTTTTGTGGGAGGTCAACCTAAATACGGTCCTAAAAGATTCCTTTGGTTAGCACCTTTTGGGACAGTCTTTGTGTGCTAGGTGGCCTTCAGTATTCAGAGATGTCTCAATGGCACTCTGGTAAATGCCTGTTCTGGATAGAAGCAGGGAGTCCTTACAAAAGACATTTTGGATGTCAATGCAAACAATAACTGATGAAGAGGGGATTTGTGGTGATACCAATTCAACTGAACAAAATCCTTTGTCAGCTTTAATATGTATATTTTGTGTATGTGCACTTAGTATAACCCTTTATAAATCAATTGAGCAGAAAGTCAGGATATCATTCCACACAATGTATTTGTCAGTGTGTCAGATGTTCTTTTCAATTATAATTCCAAGCAATGGCAGTTCCCCTTGTTAGCATACAAGCCTACTGGTGTCTTGAGAGAGAATTTTCATCTACATTAGTTCTTTCTAATTCATTTGGCATTTCAAAGGCTTTTGTTCTTTTAAAGGAAAGAGGGACCACTAAATGAACATCATTTTCACAGACTGTTATAACAAGTGTTATTTTTTAATATAAACATCAATGTAGAATCTGTATATGAATGATTGACCATAATTTTTGGGTCACATTTTTGCATTGGTGTGATACAAGTAGAATTTCAGAAGCTTCTAAGTTACTCAAGTAGCTTTAACTCAGATTGACAAACTGATTTTTTGTTTGGTGTTTAATTCCTGATAAAGTTTTTTGTTTGTTTGTAGTTTTGTGGAATGGCTGGCCCACTTAGGATCCCAAGGGATTATGTAGTCTAGTTAAAATAGTCTTTCATATTTTCTATTTTATTGGTGCAATTTTGAGTTGATGGGGAAATTCCACCATTCTATTAATTAAGAAAGGTGGATTTTGAAGTTTTTTGGCTAAGGAGGAGTACAGACTTCTGATTTCGCACTACTGATAAAGTGTTTACCCCTTAAATCACTTCACTGGATAATCTGGACTGATTCCAACTCTGCTGTCTCTTTGAAGGATTTTGGGTTTTTTCTCCTACCACAAGCGCACAGAAAGAATTTGAGAATGTAGGTTTATGTAAGACTTCAGCCAATTCATTTGGTCCTGCCAGACAGATAAACTTCATTACATAATGGGAAAGGAGGAGTAACTCAGAGTTGAACCTGACAAACACCAGAATGCAGGTGAGTTATGGCACAGAAATTCATGGACAGAACCACTTCAGTTAAAAAAGCCCTCCAAGATGATCTAGTCCAACCTCTGACTGAATATTACATGTAAACTAAACCATAGCATTATGTGCTGCATCCAGTCATTTCTTGAACACCTGTGGGATGGATGACTCTACCACCTCCCTGGACAGCCTGCTCCAATGCTTGACAACTTCATCCATGAGAAGATTCTTGCAGAGGTCCAACCTGAACCTCCCCTGGCTTAGTTTGAAGCTGTGTCCTCTTGTCCTGTGGCTGAGAGGAGAGACCAAGTGACACCCAGCTTGCTACAACCTCATTTCAGGGAGTTGTAGAGTGAGCCTTTTCTCCAGTCTAAACAATCCCAGCTCCCTCAGCCACTCCTTAAAAGACTTATGTTCCAGACCCTTCACCAGCTTCTCTGCCCTTCTCTGAGCATACCTCAATGTCCTTCTCATGAGTGGCCTAAAACAGAACACGGGATTTGAGGTGCAGCCTTTCCAGTAACAGGGGCAGGGAAAATCCCAGCCCTAGTCCTGCTAGCTACACTATTGCTGACACAAACGAGGACACCATCAGTCACCTTGGACACCTAGTCACACTGCAGGACAAGAGGAAATGAGAACTAGAAACACATACATTTTAGGTGTAACCTAACATGCAATCTACGCAATTCACCTAGAATGAGATTTCAGTCAGAGAGTTCACTGACATCTGTTTCTCTGTAAAGTTGTTCAAATGTTTCTGCAGTTATTCAAGGACCCTTGAGTTGTGTGTTTGAACTAGAAGTGGACATTTCTTTGATATCCATAAACATCTAGTCATCTCATCCTAAGAGGGAAAAGGAGTTAACTGACAGCCAGTTCTCTACATTTACCATTACCTTTTATTTCTGTAGCTCAAGATCTGCTTCCAAGCACTTGATAATCCCATTTTCAGCAACATGCTCCCAAATGTCCCACTGCAGCTTAAGTGCTTAGTGCTGTGTGGTAGGTTTTGTTAGGGAAATCAGACATGTAAGAACTGGGTGCTTGAAAAATCTGTCCTATGGGTCTATCTTACTGACATTTCTGAGAAATTTACCCAGGATTTCTGCTTAGCTATATAGGAGAGCTGAAACACTCGCTGAAACATTTTCTAAATCAGCAAAAAATGTGTTTTGAACATATTTTAAGCACATGAGTGGGCTTGGGGGTTTTTTGGTTTGGTTTGTGGTTTTTCACTATTTGCAGTTGATTGATTTTTTTTTTTTTTTCTTCTGACATTACTTTAAAATGAATTACTTACTATGAATTGAATATAACAAGAAAACGTGAAGGGAAATCAGAAGAATGAATAATAGCCTTCAGAGGGCAGAATGTTGTTGAAGATGCAAAGAACCTACTGCTTCTGTGATACATTAATTCTTGAGAGAGCTGGATTTCTATTTCCTTGAGGCTAAAAGTGCTGCTCAGAAAACTGAATACCGAAAATGTCTGTTGTGGGGGCAAATGTTAGTTATCATTTTCAAATCTGATCAGGGTTTTTTGTGGGGTTTGGGTTGTTTGGGGTTTGCCCTCCCCATATTTCTTAGATCTGGGTCTCACAGTTCACTCTGAGAAGCTGAAAAACTGTCCATGTTCTTTCTGGCTCTATGCTCTACTATACATTAGTAAGAATTTAGTTGCCTGTTAATGATATACAGTATACAGGAAAATCTGACTGAATATTTCAGTGGATAGCTGCATAATTATATTGGGCAGTGTCTGGTGTAATGATTTTCCTTACTAATGCAAGCACTCAGATATAGGATAGCTGCATTATTCTATACTCACATTTTCATTGTTTATGAGTCCCTGGTTTGGCATAGTTGACTCTTCATAGAAAAAATTCTGTGATGGCTTCTGAGGTAAAACATAAAATTATGATATTTTTCCTCTCCTATAATTTCACATGTGATTTTGCCGATATTTTTAAGATTATATTGATTCATATAAGAGATGCTGCAAGCAACTCAACATTTATATTGTGTACAGCTTGGCAAGGGTTGCCTTTGCTATGTTCACAGCACAAAAGTATCTCTCAAACCCTGTTTCAAAACCCTGTTTTCTGCCAAAAATTAGTTTGAGGTGAAGATAACACATAGTCTGGAGACTAAGCAATCAAACATACTGTTATCATTATCCCTTCTGTATACTCTGTCATTAACATAGAAAATGGAGATGATAGTCTGTAACTGCAAACAATAAATGCTGTTTTTCCTTTGAGCACTGATTTTAATGGCAGTTTAAAAAAGTTAACAAGCAGAATGAAGGGGTCATAAATGAAAGTTAACCCACAGCAGTTGGAAACTGAGAAATCCTTGTTACTTTCCTGGTAGTGAGCCTAATTTGTTTAAAATAAAATCCATCTGCCCATTTCACAGTCTTTTGTCACACTTCCTTCAGTGATTCACAATGGATTACCCCCTTACTTTAAAACCTGTCTGAAATTATGATAACTCTTATTTTGTGGTTTGCTGTAGCATTAAGTTTTGCAGTCCAGCGAAGATGCCCTTTATTCTTAAAAAATAATCAGCTATTGGGGTTTTTCTGCAGTTGGAAATGATTTTTTTCAAATTGGATTTCAAATAAATATACAATCTGATGGTTTTGTGGCCACATTAAATTTACTAACTGGAATAAGTTTCCTTTTTCATACAGAAATCAGTTTACTACCGTGCTCCTTTATGTTTCCTCCTGGATATACATTAGATCTCTAGAGATGTTTTAATGAGTTATACATACATAATGCTTCTAATTTTTCTTTGTCCTTCTGATTGTTAGATATGTGAGATGTGTATTTCTGACAGCAGTTGAGTGAATATTCACAAATATATGATATAATTGAATTTTTGAATGTGTACTTCAAGAAGTTTATAGACTTGTATAGATAAATCATTGATTTTCATTTGTCAAATTCAAGATTTTCAAGTCCTGATACTCTTGTATTTTTATCAGTGAATCTGTTAAAGGAAATACTTCTGGATTTTGAATGGTTTTCATTGCTTTTTAAATTTGTTTATGTAGATACTCTTCTTTGTTGAGTACAAGTTATTGACCTGGTATTCTATTTATAATTCTTCCTGGTTCTTCAGTATTTTATCTAGCTGTAACTTATTAAAAACCACAAATATGAAATGGGGATATTAATGACAAGTGGTTTAAATGTGAGAGTTTCAAATGCATGTTAGAATATTTCAACACTTTTTTCACTGTAATTTTACATTTTTTCATTACTTAAGTAATTAAAAAAAATCCTTAGGGTTGAATTATAGTAAAATTTTATACATCTCAGTACTAATTTTGTCTCCCAGTGGACAGCAATAATTTAGATGGGATTGTTTTTACTCTACCTAATTTATTCTTGGGCAGGGGGGAAGGGGAAAAATATTAACCTTGCAAATTTTGCTAATTATAATAATTTCATTGCTATTGTTAATTGTTTTTAATAACCTCCATGCCTTCAGAAATTTGTTCTATATTTTGAAGAAAACATCCAGATATACAGGGTTCTGTAATAGAATGTGTTTACAGTATTTATCCCCTGGGTTAGCTATAACAGTAAGGGGAAGTATAGTGACAGATACCACTTGCAATAGTTGCTAGTGCAATGTGCCTTTGAACCATTTTCTTTAGTTATTAAATTTTCTTGTAATCTTAGGTAAGGTGAGCAGTTTTAAATCAGTTTCATTTCTATCAAAGTGGATATGACAATACATTCTTAGAGCTTTACTAGTCTTACTAAATTTAAATCTGCATGGTAAATGGTTACATGTATAGTTTTGAACTGATTTTACTGTTCAGGTTAACTTCTTAGGTTTCAAAACCTGCTAGAGTAGAGGGAGAAATTGCCAGTTATATTTGGGGGTTTTTTATTGCTTTCATTTTGTACTATATATATCAGTGGGACTTTCACAACACTGTAGATGTGCTCAGTTTTAATGTTGCCGTAGTTTGCTCCATCTGTTTTCCTTGAATTTAGCTTAAAAATTAATCCCTTTCCATAGGTGTCTGCTTTGAACCTTAACAAATATAAAAATAATCAAAATATCACTATTTGATAGACACACTGTTTATTTCTCTATTTCTGATGTGGATATTGTTTAGCAGGGCCTGTCTAGTTAAAAGGCAGTTAAAATAGTAATCACACATGATCTGTGTCTGTCATTCGTAGAAAAAATGCTACAAAGTGATATGTGGTGGTAACAACTCGGAAGGAAAAGAATATGAAATTCAGATAGCAGCTTGAACAATTTACTGTTAGCATGGGGCCCAATAACACTACAAAGCTATAAACTCTGTCCTTCTAGATTGCCCAGTTAGGTGGCAGAGATGCAATTTGTCTTTTCTGAAGCCACCTGCTGCTAGCTAGCTCCATCTCCTGTCACAGCCTATTAGCTCCCCAAGAAAATTGGTGGGAAATTGCCTGCAGATTGTAGGAAATTGCATCTCCAGCCCCAGGAAAAAATGTAGGATAGCACAACACTGATCCTCCCAGAGCAGCTATTAATACAGCAAAAGCTGACCTTTGGCATGGCGTGAAACGACTTTGCTGAATAAAGACTGTATTATGTGTGGTTGAAGGAGGGAAGGAATTATTATCCTAGCTATGCTTGTAGTCAGCCTGTTCCAGGAAGCTTAACTATGAGCAGCAGGTTCTGCTGCCCCTCATTCCCACTGGAAGGTGGAAGAGGACATTTTGCAGCCTTATATACAAAATTCATTGTACAGATGGGCAAAAAACCCTTTATGTATTTAAATTATGTTAGTTCATATAAAATTCAACAGTTTAGTGACAAAGTTGAAAGGTAATTTATGAAGCTAATTGCAAAAAAATTAATAGGTATCTCTGCTCAGGTGAGTCTTGGTCAAACTAGGAACAACTTTTTGGCTATTTAATTCTATTTATATATACATATTATACATTTGATTTTGGAGCAGTTACAATGAAAAGGAACTGATTTGTTCTGTAACTGTGAACTGTAAAAAGTCATGGAATACGCATTACTTATCACAGATTTTAGCATTAAATTCCTTGCTGCTAGGAAGCTCACTTCTGTTATGTTTAAACTAATTTCCATATGTTCTTTATGGTGTAATATAGAATGAGTTTCATCCTCTGTCATTTCTACTACAGCTACCTTTCTAATTTTGTACTTTACCTCAGTTTTACAGGGCCTTTCAATAAAAGACTCAAGTTTTCTGTAAATTCTGAGAGAGGGGGTATGTATAGTTAGGTTTTTTTGCAACATAAAAATAAATGTCAGTATTTTCTTTGAGCTTGCAGTTGTACTTAGTTGATTCAAAGCCTCCTGAGGAAGATGTGGTTGTGAATCAGAATGGCGTATTGATCAGAAGTGAGTATGAGGAGGGCGGCAGCAGCAGGGAAAAAATCATTTTGCAATCAAGAGCATTGCTGTTTTCAAACTCAGATGAGATCTCTTGGTAACTGGCAGCTGCCCAGGGATCTAAGTGAAACCAGTGGGTTCATTTCCTGTTGTATTAGTGTCCACTGTTGTAAATGATCTAGCAGGGCTTACGAACACTCTCACCGCTGATTAGAGAAAATTAGTGGCCTGCCTTATGGAGCTGAGGCAGAGGCAGTACGGCAAAAAAGGTATTGCACACAGTTCAAAGCACAGCTGAAGGGGATCAAGAGAACTTCATGTCATGAGGCTCTCTGGACTGCTGTTTTGAATTCTTATGATCATAAATGCACACATATGTCAGTCTGAAATGCTAATTTGTTGAGGCATTGATTTTCTAATTTAGTTATAGCACCTTTTATGAAAGTTATGCAGTTTAGTGCTGTGTGTCTTTTCTTGTAAAACAAATACAAGGAACAGAAGAGCTGTGGTGCTTGAGCCTTTATTCTGTATTTACAATAGCTGTTCATCTTCCAAGGTATTACATATTAATTGCATTCTCAAAATAAACCTTGCCATTTAGTAACAAACTGGGTTTTTTGTATAGTTCAATACTTATATTGGATGAGCAAAGAACATTTCAAGGACACAGAATATCTTCCCTGGCTAATCACTGAATTTGCCTTTTCTTGTAACAAACACAAAATAAAATGGATGATACAGTATTCAGGATTTCATTTCCTCTGGCTGATGACACTATGTGCACTGTTACCTGCATGCATACTCTGAGGCCAAGACTGTTATTCTACATAGAGCAAAGAGAACTAATCATTCTGTATGAAAGGCAGAAGCTTTCTTTCCATAAATTCAAAGCTGCAAGCTCTTACTTTCCTATGGAAAGAACCAAATTTAGACTGGGCTGTGAGGAATTTGGAGTGCACCAAAAGCTGCTCTGGACAGTTGGTTGGTATAAAAGAGGACTGGCAGGGGAGAAAAACCAGCTCCTGACAAACCAGTTCTCAGCCAACACTTAATGACTGGAAAAGATGTGCAAACCATAAATAGCACCCTTTATCCTGTAACAGTTGATGAGCTCCAGCAAAAGACAGCACACTAAACTTAGTTCAAAGAGAGTTTATTGTCAGTCTATGTTCTGATCAGTCCAACTTTGGTCAGACCATGTTTTTCATAATGCATTATTACAACCAATAACACATCAGAAAAACAAAATCCAAGTTCCTTAATTAGTCTGATTTTACTTTTTTAATTGTGCCTTCCTATGTAATGCTTCTCACTTGCCACAGTATGGAAATGTAGCTTTTTCTTAAGCATCTCTGTTCAAATTTCCGATATTCCAAGTGCAGAACCATGAAATTGTCCTAATTTTCTGTGGTATGATGATGAACATTTATCTTTTTTGCTAGTGTCATTTTTTCTAGCCTCAGCAGAAATTTTTACCTATTTTTTTTCAACTTTTCATTGTACCAAGACATCATATTCATGGTTATTCATTGAAACAATTCAGATTTTTTTTTCAAGTTCTTTATCAATGGCATTTATTGGGTGTTTAATTTTTATGAAAAAATTGTATCTGAGTATTCCTGAACTCTGTGATAGTACCCTTTCTCCTGCACCATAACTTTCTGATACTCTAGCTGAGAGTAAACCAAGTCCCCACCATTTTCTCTGAAGAATCCTGACACTGTGAAAAAAAATCTAAAATTGCTTGGTCCATTTAGCAAAAAAAGCTTTTATTTCTTTGAACTCTCCCAACAGTTTTATTTTATATTCCATCAAAGATTAAATTTTCTGCTATAAAAAGGCACTAAGAAAGCATATAGCATAACTACAGCCCTTCCAAAGGCTTTTCATGCTGGGATGGTGTGGGGGTAGTTGAAATAGGGCGGAGGGAATGAAGATGAAGAGCAAACCCTCCATTTAGAATCAATTGGACCATAAGCTGGGAGATACCAGTGGCCTCCAAGACAGAGCCAGCAAAGTTTTGGAGGAGCAGAGATGCCATGTTCTGGTGGACCCCTCATAAAGTTGGTCACAGAGAAATGTAAGCAACAGTGTGCATGCAGGGTGGTATCTGTATTTTGGCCTCAGTTTTGCCCAGACAGCCACAGTGCTGTTAGAGATAGGGCTGGGGCTGAAATGCTGGGCAAGAAGCTGAGGAATGGGGAGGTGCAGGAGAGGAACCAATGTTTGAGGACTGCTGGGAGAAGGGCTGCTGGGAGAAAAAAGGGAGGAGAGTGTCAGCAGGGGGAAATTGTGATAAAAAGACTGTGCATAAATCTCTTGGATGAGGATAAGCCCCAAAATTTCTAAATAAATAATTTACACCCCCATCATCAAGTATTTTTGGGGATCTGGGCTTGTCCAAGATGATTCAGGGACAAGTGAAGAAAAAACCCAGGAGTGAAGGGGTTTGTGCGGTGACACTGTCTTTGGCTGGTCATGGCCACTTCCACCTGGGGCGTGTCCACTAATTTCATAGTGAACTTCTCATCTCCCTCACCTCCCTGCAGCAAGCTGCTGGGCAGTGGATTCAAAGAACCTGAGGGGAAAGAATCGCACACCCTGGCTCTGCTGCATTTCTCCAGCCAGGGCAAAGGCCTTTATCTAGGGCTTGTTTCCTGGAAAAGAAGGTAACTGTGGACTGGATTGGAAAAGAACATTGTTTTTCTGCCAGCAGAGAAGACTTCCATTAACAGAACAAATTGAGATACATTAAAAATAGCACGCTTGAGCAGCAATGAAGATGAAACATCAAAAAGGTAAGCCAAGGCTTTTTAATTGATTAGAGATATTCAGGTGGAGTATTACATTTGCATTTAACCAAATATGGGAAAGCTGGAACACATTATTGGTTGTTCTGAGTTTTTCTTAGTACCCTCAGGAAAGAAGGCAGTGGAAGAGCAAATAACCAAGCAAATGTTTATCTGTGTGTTTGATAAGTTCCTGAGAAATGGTCTTATCCAACCAGGTAATGGCTACCAACCGGGTTAAAGTATAATGTGCTTTTGGCAGAGATTTCAGCATTCTTGGTTGAGACAGCTTGCTTTCAATTGTTCTAATTAAAACAAGCTGTATGTAAGTACCATCAGAGGTCCTCTCTGTTCCCAGGAAAGTATCTTACTTGTAAGGAATTTCACCTTCCTGTTCAGGAGCACAATATCAAAAAAGACTGAAAACACCCAGCACAAGTATGTTGATTATTAACTCTTGATCAGTCAAGCTGGAGACTTTGAAACCTGGATATATACAGTGAGAAACAGATCAGGTATTTGCCCAGATGAAGGCTCTGCCTTTTTGAGCATTACATAACTACAGTATGATGTTACAAGATCCTGTTTTGATGTAATACAGGCCTATGTCACTAAGTGCTTAACATTCTATGCCATTTACCTCCAAAAACAGAAAAAAAAAAAATCTTTGGTAATCTTACTGAAAATTGTTTACTCTTTAATTTTTTGAAATCTGGCAAATAATACAGAAAACCACAGGTATTGTTCAAAATTATTGTAGCTTTTCTAGATCTGCTACCATAGAAATCCTTGAAAGTGGGTTTTATATTTATGTGAGTTGTTATGCTCATGTGTAGTGACAGAATACTGTTTGGCCATGTTGCTTTGAAACGTTTCACATAGCAGTGTCTACCCCACTACACTGCTTTTAAAAGTCAAAGACTTATAATAGCAATTTCCCATGCTTTCATCCAAAGCCTGAAAATATGCCTTGAGCAAGACATTAAATCAAAAGGAAAACATTGCCAGCTATTTGACTGTCTGTCCGGCTCCTTGGGAGGTAGTTTTCTGCTATGCCAATGTGAAAAAATTCATATTACAAAAGCAAAATGAAAGAAAACAGAAATTAAACAATAAGAGCAGCTTCAGCTCTGAGCAATTCTCTGAGTATTCCACAGCAATCAACTTTTCCCTTCTAGAAGAACAGCTTTAATTTGATCTTACTTTCACTGATTTATTTTCTGCTTCAGTTTTGAGCTTTTAAAAGGAAGTGTTTCCTTTTTCCAGTGTCTCTAATTGGAGATTTGAAGGACCTCTCTAACATCTGTAACTCTTCTACTCTTTTTTTTCTCCTTGATGTTTGTTTGTCTTGGAGTTGCACATAAGCAAAACATCCAGTTCTGAGGAATCCATGTGGTGAGTGTGTTGGGTTGGGCTGCTGGACTATTCTGCATGAATGGGTAAATTAGGACTAACCTCTTTAGATGGAACTAGTTAAAAATGGTTTTAAATCTCAATCTGCTGGATGTTGGCAACTCAGGAGGCAACAGTGGGTAATATCTGCTTGTATGGGCAGAAGGAGCTTTCTTGTCGATTCTGCTAGCTTTGCAATGAATGTCATTTTGTGCAATCAATACGTGCTTGATTTCCTGCTGTGGGTGGAGGGAGGGTGTCTCATAGCTAACAATTCAGGCATCCAGCAGGAAATTTGTTGGGAAAAAACTACAACAAAACCACCACAACCAAACCAAACAACTGACTGGAAAAAAAGCCTTTCTCCCTAGACCTACTTGCTCCAACAAGGGGAGGATGACACATTTCACAGCCACTGTAGGTCTCCTCTATTATACATCAGTGCCAGTCTTCACTAAAATGTAGTTAATTTTCAGCCAATTCTCTTGTATTTGTCCCATAAAACAACCCCATTTACTTAGTGTAGGCCCCTATCTCCATATATTGTTCTTGCTCCCTAGTGTCTAATCATTACTTCAATAAAACCAAGGAGGAAATATAATTCTTATGCTGATGTTTATCTTAAAGGCTTCTCACCTTCTGCCAGCTCTTTTTCAAAGCTGAGATGCTTAAGACTGGTCCAGTTGGATTTTGCTTAATTCTGAGAATAGAGATACCAAATGTTTTCTGGACAACATTTCAGTGCCTACATATTCACATTATGGCTTCTCTGCTTTTTGGGGAGGATTTTTTGCTTGGGGTTTTTGGGATTTTTTCAAAATGCTATTTGGGAGTAAGGACCGCTGCCTCTTTTCCATTTGCTGTGCAGATCAAAGAGATGTGCCTCATTCTGTCTGGCAGAAATAGCTTGGTGGGAAAAAAGATTTGTGGACCATTCTTTCTCTTGAGTAGGGGAAAAAAGGGTAATTTTAACTCCTTCATGGTTATGATTCAGTCTTGAGTGGGCTGTAAAGTCATGCCATGTTTTTTTCCCCTTTCGTTATATGAAGAAGGAATTTTTATCTTAAAAACGCCATTGTGGTTTCCATCCTTGAGAACTGTTAAAACTCTTCTGTTTCTAAATCACTCCCTCCCATGAAGCAGCTGAGATGACTCTACCTTAACTTCAAATGCAGCGCTTGAATGTGGCATTGACTTTATGGAGAAAGACTTATTCTTTTGCAGGTGAACTGCAAAAGCACTAGAAAGCTCTTACTGTGCTCAAGTTGTCAGAAAAGGTCTTTGTATAACTTGAGCACTCATAGGAACATTAAAATTAACTTGGAGCACTGGAATAAGCTTGGCTAGTGATGATAATGCAAACTGTAGATTCAAAAGGACCGTAGTCTTTTTGTAGTCATCTTCCTCTGGGCATGCTTAATGGAGAA